ATGCAAGGCTCAGAGCAGCACTCTTCGCAGGGCGTAGTATCTCGGAGAGCTTAACATAATTACCCCATACCATCATTTTTCTCTCCATTCCATATCGATGTATTAATAATTAGTGCTGTGCATTTTCCCCCAGACGTTACACTCCTGGGAGGGGCAATCAGTTCTAGGTTTTATATAGTTTCAAGCCTTTGCCGATGTTTGTGATCAACCAATAAAAACTTCTGCGACCTGTCTGCCTCATAATATCCTGAGGTTAAAAAATGGAATAATACGGACCAGATGGTGTAAATACCTAAAACCACAGCATCTCTGCTTTAACTTATCACACTGTCAGGAGTCACCATTTTTTAGGTTGAAGCTCACCAGTGTTTAAACTGTTGAATTAAACAACAATTGTGGTAATAAGTATTCCAACGTGTTTAACTTGACTTAGGGCTGAATGAAGCTGCTTTCAATTGCCTCTCATGGAACAATACATAACTGGAAGATTAATGATAAGAATCGATTAAAAGCAACAGCATAAATACTCCACTAGTATGTGGATTCAAATGTGATCAAGTATCGTCTTAAAATCAGGGTGGATGGTTAGGATTGCTCAGGAAGCAATTCTTCCTGCAGAAGTTTGTGAAGATGTGGAAAACTAGAGGGGAAATCAATAGGTATGTTTAAGAATGGGTGTGTGGGGGTGGGGGGGGGGGGTTACATCTACAGCCTAGTCGATGATGACTAGGGGACAGAATCGAGATATTTAAGATTGTAAAAGGATTCAATAGAGTGGACATTGAAATGGTGTAAATATTAGATAGCCGGACAAAGAATTTAGATTCCTAAATGGAATTTAGGTGAACTGTCTTCTATGCAGAGGTCGCTGACAATGTGAATGCCAAAAACCATCAATTTCTTTAAGAGGAAAGTTGCTGAATACATGAGCGCGAAGGGAATAGAGGGGAAAAGGGGGGACGGAGGCTCATGTGGAGTAGAAACACTGACATGGACTAGTCGGGCTAAATGACCTGTTTCTGCACAGTATCAGTCTGTGTCGTTCTGTGTCATTATGCAATTGCTCCACCGCATTTTTCAACGATGGGATAATTACCACATCACACCTCACAATTTTCCCCCCAGTAAATGTACGGTGCAAGAAAGCAAGTGCAACACACCCAGGAATTTCTCTGCACAGCCCTGCCATGGGCACGGAAGGAAGCATTGTGAAAAAAAAAGGACACGTTAATTAGGTATTTTTAACGAGCATTTTCTTTCTTAGTCCCTCGAGGGACGCAGCACTGTTCCTGGCTGCTACTGTCCTGCCTGACTTGAACAAAGCCAGGCAAATAAAAGGCATCTATCTCAATGATCTTTATTCTAATGTCCAATGAATTAATGTTCAATTACTCACACGGATTTCACCCTCCTCCCCCAGATTATTTAATGTCGCGTTTAATTTAACTCGGCAGGAAGCATCCACATTATTGTCAAAAGAAAATGTACTTTGTTATGTCATATAATCACTTCAGAATCCCTGGTGATAATTTCTCCCTCTTCCCCTCCGTTGTGTTTAACTTGGCAGCTGAAAATGCCATGTGGAGGGGGAGAAAAATCTACTTATTCATTCAACTAAACCAAGGAGTGCTCCTACAATTTCCAAAGCTCCTGAACTTCGGGCTTATTTAATAGGTTGGGTATCAATTAGGAGACGTCTGTTAGTCATTACAGAGGTGGTCAGTCATCACAGCCTAAACAAGTGCTAAATTATCAAGGCAAACAGCTGTCAGCTGGGATTTTAGTGTAAACCAATTGTGAGATTAACCCTTTTAGGACATATCGAAGCATCTTACAGATTTACTTTGGGGTCAAGTTTTACCCTTCCTCCCATCATTCTGTTTTACTCTCTCCCCCCCCTTAATGTCACATACCATTCCCTCACCAAGTCACTCGTTCCCACTTATCCATCAACGTCGCTTCCCTTTAATAACAGGTTGTAAAGTAAATAAATGCTAATCAAAGCACTGATCTGCTTCTCTGTGCTTGTCTAGCTTGAAGCTCGCTATAGTACCTTTTAGAGCTTTGACTCACAAGGTTAAGGGCATGTCCACATCTTCAAGTCTCACCGCCAAGCCAGAGAGGTTTTTCTCCCTGGCTTCATCTCCTCAGAGACGGTTCAGCCCCAGGAACAACCCTGCTTCCTCCCAAGGAGGATGTTTCTTTAGACGTGGTTCTCATTTTATAGACCATGAAAGCCGGTGAAAGACTGGATGAAAAGACCCACCAAGATTTGAACCCACTTTCAATCCACATCTGGTCTCTCCTGACTACACTGTTTAGGGTAATGTATGTGGGATCGGTCAGTGCCTTTGACCCAGCACTACTGGGAAATTGCAATGCTTTGACTGACGTGTGCAAATCCGTACCTTACCAACCTGTGGCACAGTGCATCAGCACATTAGCATGTGGTCCGCATTAGATTACTGTCTGTCACACTGGTGAAGTGAACCAGGTACACATGATTTTGTTTATTGAAGGACATCAATTTGATTAAAGCGAAATTCTTTTGCAGGGTCATTGCCCGGATTCTTGTGGTACCTTGGTACGTGCGTGTGTATACACATTGTAAAGATTTGTTCGTTCAGAGGTTATTTCTGTGTTCACAGACTGTAAAAGTCTGTGTGTGTGTGTCTATATATACATTCATCTCGCATTCTGGTTGTTACATTACTGCTTGTATATCAGAGCAAAGGAATAAATATTTGTTTATCTGCTTGTAATTATGAACCATGGACTCCCATTGCCAGCTGTGCACCTACTTTTTGCACAACGCTTGACTGCTATTTGCAGTTGTTTTGCACTTAAAGGTCATTAAAACGTGAAGCTAACAGAGGAAATTCATAATTAGGCTTGGTCAAATTCAAAATAGGGTTTGTCTTCTGAAGTGTTCACATTCAGAGTAGAGTTTTGCCACATTACGAAACCATCCAGTTTAAAGGCACAGCTGAAAATGTCTCCTTTAATACATATATAGGTCCGGTGAAGGGTTTGCCTTTTTACCCACATTTCCGTCCCCTGCTCCACCACATCTACAGCAGACTGATCTCCCAGATACATTGCTGTAAGTACATTTCTAACCTCTATGGATCAAACAAGCTGTGAAGCGAATGGATCAAACGCACAGCACTCTGTGCACAAAGTGTCTGCAAATCTCTCCTCCACTGTCGTTTACCAAAATGCCCGTTTGCCTGTTCAGGTGTACTTTGAAGATCCCATGGCACAAGAGAAGGGAGTTTACAATCCCCCACATAAACTGATCATTGACTTCAAGTTTGCGGGACAGTGCGGTGCACAAATTGGCTGCTGCATTCACCGACAAAATACACAGTCACTTCTTCACAGTAAATCCTGTGAAGCGCTTTGAGACGTCTCGATGATGTGTCAAGGCACTATATCAAATTGCAACAATTATTGTTATAATAATTAAGAATGGCAGCAATAATCAGATTAACTTTCTGGGCTAAAGGTTTTTTTTCCGACAAGTTTCTGTATCCAGTACGATTTTGTTTGAAAAATAATTTTTTTTTAGATGAGTTTTGCTCTTTTCCATGCAATCCTTTGCCTTCTCAGGCATCAGCCAGCAACCTGCTCCCAGGCTTCTGTCAGTACAGCTCTAACCTTGGCGATGACCTCAAGGAAGACCAGGACTGTACTGTTGTGTTCAGTCCTTCGTGTGGGAGAAAGGTGACATTCCATTCCTGACAACGCATCCTAAGATATGCAGCCAAGAACCAACTCGTCACCCCTCTATGCGAGTAATTACCAAAAAAGCAATAATTAAATTGGTCATTTTCAATCTACGACTGTTTGTGGGACATTGCTGTGCGCAATTGGCTGCCGCGTTCGCCCACAAATATACAGTCAATTCACTTTACAGTGTGTTCTGTGAAGCGCTTTGGGACGTCCTCCCGACGTGAAAAGCGCTATATCAAATGCAAGGATTATTATTATTATTATTATTATTAGTACTGTCTGTGGGACGCTGCTGTGCGCAAATTGGCTGCCGCGTTTCACCCACAAAATATACGTTCTGTTCACTTTCCACTATATTCTGTGAAGCGCCTTCAGACGTCTCGACGACGTGCTGAGGCGCTACACCAAATGCAAGGAGTATTATTATTATATTCCTTGGCAGCAAGGCAGTGCTAGAAATCAAATTTACAAACTGCGGCTGTTTGCGGCAAGCTACCGACGAACCTGTTTCTTTTGTTTTTGAAAGTGAGCCTTAAAGATTCTTTTAACTAATCCTTGCTTCTCATACAACACCTCTAACAACCAGCTGCCTCACAGCGCTTCACATATAATTGCTTTGAAATGCAGTGACTGTGCAGGTGAACATAGCACCCAATTTGCATACAGCGATGTCCCACAAACAGCCACGAAGTGAATGACCAACTTATCTGGGAATCCGCTGAAGGTGGACTCCTACGAAGCTGAAATTTCTCTAAGTGTTAGCCCGTGAGTCCATTTCATGTTAAAATGGAAGATCGCACGGATTTGAGGTTAAAGAAATCTTCAGTCAGAATTAAGAGGTTGATTCTTTTTAAAAACTGTGGAAAACTGGTTTCCAAATTACGACCGAATTTAAGGCGGATGTCCACAATTTGTTGCGGTCTTACATTTTAAGACAAAATGGGCTGACAAGCTGGGACTGGATAAACAATCCTCGCATTTCATCCTTACAGATGGTATTGCAGTCCTCTGAATGCAGTTAATAGATCTAACTATCTTTCAGAAAGCTTTCCTCTGAGACTATTCCTTGCTGTTCTGCACATGTTAGCATCAGTAATTTCAAAGGAAGGCAGGTCTCTCTCCACTTAACCACTCCTATTTGCCTGTTCCTTGCAGTTTGTGTGCAAATGCACACAAGCTGATTGGCTTGGGAGTTGCACCACCCCCTGTTGTTAGTTTTAGAACTCACTAGCAGTGATTTTAATGAATTAGATTAGTATAGGGCCAGGTTTTTATACACACAGTAATTGGGCTTTCGCTGATGTGTGCGTCCTGTAGCCTTGCAACATGGTGCGTACAGTTCGAACGTGTAGAGGAACGGGCCAGAGGAGTCTGTCTTCTCCTGCACGGGTCCCTATTCTACTCTGCTGTGCTCTTTGCCTGTTCTTTGTGCCATCCAGCGGAGCGTGCAAGCAAAGCCATCCGCGCCTGAGGTTCTCCTATAAAGGTAACGCTTTCTAATAATAATAATAATAATAATAATAATTTGGTGGCTGTTTGTGGGACTTCGCTGTGCGCAACTGGCTGCCGTGTTTCGCCCACAAAATACAGTCAATCCACTTCACTGTATATTCTGTGATGGGCTTTGAGACGTCTCAACGATGTGATAGGGGGCTGTATCAAACGCAAGGAATTACTGTTATCATTATAATTATTATTTTACACGCCGGGAGAATTAGCAGGCGACCCATATATCTCGCCAGAACAGCACCAGCCTCTGGGACGCCCTCCCGACGTGAAAGGCGCTCAATAAATGGAATCTTGTTGTTGTTGTTGCTGGCTGGCACGGTGATGTGTGCGACTGCCGTGTCACCTTTTAGCAGTGTTTGATTATTGCCTTAACGCACAGCTAACCATCTTTCATCCTGCTCCTCACAAAAAAAATAAGTTGTCAGGGCCAACAGTGGACAGAAACATACTACCCACTGAAGGTTCTGAATTGTCAGCTCCACTTTGTTCCGAAAACACTCTGAAATATATCACGGCATCTGCATTTTAAAACAAAAAAAGTTCTTTGGAAATTTGGGTTCGAATCCGAGTGGAATATCGTCACGATTCCACGGCGAGGGTTGGTTTGGCAGGTGAGGATGGTGTTTCGCTGATTGAGGCTTTTGTGGTCAGACAGAAAGAGTCTCTGGTGAAACAATAGCACCAGTGTGATTGACTGCTATTATCCTGCAGCTTTGTGAAGTGGTCTCCAGTGTATCCATCAGAACATTCCTTTCAGTTTCATCTGTTGATATACCAGGGGGTGGGGAAGGATTTACTATGTTGTAATCAAAGTCACACGGCCTCTGGTTTTAACTGCGCACCCCCCCCCTCACTTTTTTCTACTTCCAAATCACAGTTTAACCGTTTTTAATGAACACAAAGTAAAGCGCTGCAAATGAGCCTCGTGATGTGACGGCAGTGAAGGGGAACCGAGGTGGTGCGTTTAACAGGGGAAAACTTTTTTGCAACTAAAGCAACAGTTTTGAGCGTTCGACCCTCCTCGGGCTCTTCTTGTTCGTGGCGTGCCTTGTGGCTCATTATCCGTCCTCGTATAAGTTGCGGCCAACACTCTCAGTCTCGCTTCTTAATTGGAAAGCAGCAGCGCAAGTTGTGCAACTTCAACACAGTCCTGGAAGCCCGTCTTCAGGCCTTTCTTTTCAATCGCACTTTTGGTCACCTTTTCTTTCTTCTTCCTTCCCCCCCCCACCCCCCCACCCAGCGCCCCCACTTTGCACAACTCCACCCAACCCTAGTCAGCTCCATGAAGAAGCTTTGAGATGCCCTTTTGACGTGAAGGGCGCTGTATTGCTGTAAAACTGTCGTGAGACCAGCGAAGCAGGATTACACAACGGTGGCAACTTGCGAGTTCACTTGTCAACTGTACCTTGTAAGCTGCCAAGCAAAATATTGCCCTCTTTGTGTTCAGGCGAGGGTTGTGATACGAGCTTAGTCCGTATGTGAGTGTCATTTAAATGAGACTGGTGCTGTTCAGCCTTAGCAGGGACAGCTGCAGAGATTGCCGTGACTTGCAAGTGTTTTTTTTCCCCCCCTTAGATGAGGATATGCGTCACGTTTCTTTTGAAGAAAACCAAGTGTGCTGTATTTTCCTCTCTCGCTCTCTCTCTCTCTCTCTCTCTGTTTGTCTGTCTGTCTTTTTCCAAACCTGGGCAATTGTGATCATTCCTTTTGTCCCTTCTTACCACAAATCACTGCCAGAAAATAGCCCTGTTGGGCACTTGTTATTCAGCGCTGAAAGCCACAGTTTGGTTCCATAGCCAGCAAACTACACTCCCCCCCAACCCCCCCCCCCCCCCAACAAACAGATGTCGCCTATAATGATTATACAGAGGAATAGCTGACTGTTCCTGAGGTTGGCGTGAGCCCACTGATTTTTCCTATAATCTGCACACTTCGAACCGTCACACACAAATGCTCGTGGCCTGTATTTCCTTGGGTAAAATTCCCAGCTTTAATTTCTTTCCATTTAAAAAAAATTAAATGAAAAGCGTCTTTGCTTTTAATTCTTTTTAATTACTTTTTTTTAACGTTTCGCCCACAAAATATACAGTTAATTCACTTTTACAGTATATTCTGTGAAGCGCTTTGAGATGTCTCAATTTTGTATCGAGGCACTATATCGAATGCAAGGATTATTATTATTGTTATTTTTATTTTTGGCCAAAAAAGAAACCTATTCCTTTTGCTTCTCAGAGTCGTCTCCGAGTCAGTATTTGGGTGCTGCAGTGACTGTGATAAATTGCATAGCAGATCAGCATTTGCTGCCTGCATGATTTCATTTCCTCCATTCAAAGCTGGCGATCTCTATATCTGTCAGGTACTAGACATTCGGCATCTGGTATTGATCTGGTTTTATAAATGTATTTTAAATGCAATGCTACCATTGACTGGCCAGGAGGAATTGTAACCTTTCTGAAGAGGAGACAGAATCAGGACCCAACTGGATAAATTGCAACCTACTCGATAGTTTACACTACAAATTAATAATAATAATCCTTGCGTTTGATATAGAACCTTATCACGTCCCAAAGCGCTTCACCGAGTGTATTATGAAGTGAATTGACTGTAGGTTTTGTGGGTGAAATGCGGCAGCCAATTGACACAGATGCGGTCTACTTTAGAAACCACAGAGGGATGGAGCTACTTTGCGATATTTTAAATTAGATGATACAATAACTCGATTCTGCTCCGCTGGCTTCAGCCAATCTATTCAACCCCGGGAGACTCTAAACTTTGCAGAGTTTCAGGACGCTCAAACCGGATGGAGGAGGTGAATGCAGAGCAACACAATTTAAGTATTGAAAGGCAGCAAATCGAGAGGGGCAGAGGTTCAGAGTTACAAAGGGCAGTTTCAGGACAGATACCAGGTAGTATTTATTTTCACAGGGTGCAGTCAACAGCTGCAAAGGGTTACCAGGAAGGGTAGCTAAGGACTGGATCCGTTTAGGAAATAGCCGCAGTGGGAAGAAGGCAGGGTGAATGTTCTGGAAGGTGGGATCAGATGGAGCGGAGGGCAAACTTCATTCCAAATCTCTTGTGATGCAAACCCTTTGAGCTACGCTGTAGCTGCGGAGTGTAGCTGAGTGTGATACAATTGTTAGTCGGTTGGCGGATCGCTTTCCCCGGGGGTAATTATTCCCTAAAAAAAACAGTAATAAATTGGACGCCCAATCCACCAATGTCCGTGGGACGCTGCTGTGCACAATCGGCTGCCGTGTTTCGCCCACAAAATATACAGTCAATTCAGTTCACAGAATATTCTGCGAAGCGCTTTGAGACGTCTCGAAGACGTGAGAAGGCGCTATTTCAAATGCGAGGATTACCGTTATATTATTATTTCAAATCATGGCAATTTGCAAAAAAAAAAGGGAGATTTTTCCTTCCCTTCGACCCCCCCCCCCCCTCCAGACACTGTATCACAATTTTCACAAAATAACAAGTATTAAAACCTCACGATCATCGCTTTGCACGTGGCAATATACTTTACATGATGTATCGGGTTTTATTCTTTTGGCGAAGGGGCTCGGGCAGTTACGTGAGAGCAAAAGTTTATGTGAACTGATTAGATACAAGAGTTGTGGGGGGGGACACAGCTGGGAAAACCATTAAAATGCTTTGGGTTTTTTTTTTCTTGTCGAGCACCACTTCTGCCTTAAGATTTGATTCAGGAAACAAACAGTTGCCAACGGGATGTCCGAATTGACTTTGCAATGTGGGTGATAATAATGTAATGCTGGCTTTAATTCAGGGTGCAAAAGCTTTGGCATTCTGACCTGCACCTTTTGAGTGGCAGCCTGGCTCAGCGCTCGCACTCTCGCCTCTGAGTCACAAGGTTGTGGGTTCAAGCCCCACGTCAGGACTTGGAATCACACAGTCGAAGGCGGCACTCCAATGCAGTGTTGTGGTGGGGGGGTGGGGGTTTGCATTGCCGGAGGTCCCTTCTGTATGTTCAGGTGATGTTAAAGATCCCATGGCCCTATTCGAAACGAGAAGGGAGTTTCTTCCTCCGAGGGTCCTGGTCAATGATCCCCTAAATAACATTGCTCACTCACTCTGTGGCTGTTGGTGGGACACTGCTGTGCGCAAGTGGCTACTGCATGTCGCCCACAAAATACAGTCAATCCACTGTACAGTATAATCCTGCAACAAAGCGCTTTGAGACGTCTCAATGACGTGATAAGGCGCTGTGTCAAACTCAAGGATTATCATTCTTATTATTTTGTTATTTCACTGTTCTAAACCATCCACATCTCGACCAGAGCCCGCTATTTATCTTTTAAAAAAGCGAATCCTTTCTTTCTTTACGTTCGTGTTAGTGCATAGACTATTCAGCAGCGGCAACCCGTTGTCCATTGTCCATCTCCTACACATCAACGCAACGAATCTCTTTCACGTATTTCACGCTGGTTCCGGAAAGCTTGTTTAAGGAGCTCGTGGGATTCATTGAAGATGGTCCAGCTGTTTTCAACTCGCATGAAAAGCTGCTTTCAGGAAACCCATCTGTTCCTCATGGCTCCTTCAACCGGGGACATGTGGAACAGATATAACAGCGCTTGGGAGTCTAGAATCAGGCACATGGGAGCACTATTCATCTTATGTCCAGTTGTTGTCGAGGCTTAACCATATAGTTCTTTGCTTTCTGGTTTTCACATAGCAGTTCTGTTAAAAGTAGGATGCGGTCGTGTTTGATCTTTAATAGCTAAGCCAGCATTGGAAACTTTCCTATTTTTTTCCCCCCACCGCCATCACGAGCAGTGTGTCAAAGTTCCCACTCTGCCCGTGGCCAGCCATAACCCGGTCTCCCCGGAGCAAGGTAGAAAATTACTGTTTGCGGAGAATTTTTTTGTTGCCATTCGACCCGAGTATCACTTAATTTCCTTTGCTGCAACTTGGCTTGCACTCAATCAGTGTCCAGGTGCTGCCTTTTAAACTCAAGTTTGCTGCACAGTCTTGAAGCCCTGCCTGCTAAAAGCAGTCAAATATTCCATTCACTGTCTGGACCAACCTACGGCAGACCCCCGATTCCCAAGCAACTCATACCCCCACCCCCTTGCGCCGATATAAATAGTGTGTGCACGATTTATTGAAACTGCTCTGAGACCGTGACTGAGAAAGGGCAATAAGGCGCAGGAGCATTCAGCACATACAGTTCGAATTAGTTTGAAACCCAGACCTTGGAATTTCATATCAGTCGCGCACAACGGAAGATTAAAATTTTCCTTTCGCGATGCAATGGATGAAAACTGAAAGATGGGGTGTGTTGGAGTTGGGGGGGAAAGGGATGATATTGCATCAAATCTATAGTGTAATATCACACCTTAAACCCTGTTATCTCTATAATTGGCGTTTTTGTATTATTTTGAGGTGACACAAATCTATCTGGAATTGACTGTGTGTGGAGTCCTGTAGTTCAGTGGTTAGAGCACTCGCTTTGCAAGCAAGACACCTGGGTTCAATTCCAGGCAGAGGGCAAAACCTTGGGCAAGTTTCCTTACTCCATACAGAGCCTAATAATAATCCCTCCATAAAACAAAACAATAATAAATTGGTCATTTTCAATCCAGGACTGTTTGTGGGACATTGCTGTGCGCAATCAGCTGCCGCGTTCGCCCACAAATATACAGTCAATTCACTTTACAGTGTGTTCTGTGAAGCGCTTTGGGACGTCCTCCCGACGTGAAAAGCGCTATATCAAATGCAAGGATTATTATTATTATGATTATTATTAAGTGTGCGTGTTGTGCGTTGGTATGTAGTGTATGTTGGTGTGCCTTATGTGTGTGTGGGTGAGTGCGTGCATGTGTTTGTGTAAAGAGAACATAACCAAACATATCTGCTCCACATTGGAACACTCTGCCATCACCCACTGCCCAGCCTCATGAGCGAAGAATGTTCACCTGGGGAAGGTATAATCTACACACATGGCACCAACTAAAAATATGAGTCACTTCCTTTAGCAGATGAGACTCGAGGGCAGAAAATTAAAGGCGGGGGGTTGGGGCGGAGAAGTTAACTATTTTCCATTAAATTGCATAATTTTCACTACCATTACTTTATGAAACATTTGCAATTGATGTAAGAAATATTTCACACCTGAAGCAATAACTAAACGACCTGGAATCCACACTGTTTTAATAGTCCCAATGTCGGATAAGCCATATGGCATCAATTGTTTAGCCAATCGCCTGTCAATTGAAGTTTTCATAATGACCTCTTAGAACAAATATTTAAACAAACATATTCATCAAGAAACTTTAGTATAATCTAGTCTCTAAGCAGCCATTATGTATATGTACATATACATATATTTTGTAACTCTCGCACCACTGTGAATGCATTTGATGAAACGGTTGCTCTTAAACAACTATACATACTCAAAGGTAGCAATTTCACCTGGATTTAGGTTACTCTTTTCACTCAGCATTTTGGAATGTCCCCAATTTAGCAAATTCTCAAATACGGTCTTAATTTTTGAGCTGGTTTGCTGTACGTTTCTTTTAAGAAACTACATTAAACCGGCTTCAAGGCAATCTTGCCGAAGCCTAAAGGCTCTGAAATGCTCAGTGCTGTAAATGGAGTAAAATCTGAACTCCGGTGAAATTTCTCCCCAGCAAACTGGACCAAACATTTGCAGGAAGCCTAAATCAGCCAAGTGAAGGGAACGAGCAGAGGAGTCGAGTGGAAGAAGATAGGAGAGATAAGGAGGTGCCTGGGCGCGGATGGATTTATAGACGACGATCTTGAAATCTTAGATAAGCTTCAACTTTCTGAGATGTGCGTGTGCATTAATTCGATGTGTGAGTCCTCCATCCACTCCACTCCACTTTATAATAATAACAGTAAATTATAGTTTGCATTGACTGTTCGTTCAAGACACTCTTCATTAGACACGAGAAACATTTTGTGAGGTGATAACGTTCCATTAGACTAGAAAGTGAGTTGGTGAAAAATCAACATTTTGTTTGATATGGTTGTTAAATAAGCTTTTAAGGAGTTATGTTTTAATGCTGAGTTTAATGAACTCCAATGATTTAGGATGAATGATGACAGCTGTTAATTTAATGGACGGATGTCAATGTCTGGCATCTGTGCGGCTCTGACACTTTCTCTCCATCACATCCTAAGGCGATGCTTCTTAATGGGAGTTTTGCAAGCTTGCTAAACAAAAGTGCGACACTAGTTATGCTTTATTTGTTTGTCCACATCTCAGATTATGCTGTAAGGGACGGGCTTGAAAGCATGTTTTGCTCTACAGAGTTCAATTCACTTAGCTCATGAAAAAAGGCACTGGAAGTTCAAGGTTAGAGACAATTTAGCCAGTGTTCCAGTGAGTTGATGGAAGGACAAACCGAGCAACAGGTTAGAAAGAAAATAAGGTGACGTTTTATTTTCAGGGTCTTGAGTTCTTGAATTTGTCCCAGTTATACAAAAATCACCCACAAAGTACAGTCACTTCACTTTACAGTAAATTCTGAGAAGCACTTTGAGACGTCCTCCTGACATGAAGGCCCTTTATGAAATCCAAGGATTATTATGATATATAACTATTATTTTCTTCCTCCCTCCACTTGATTCTGCCTCAGGCACATGATAAGCGAGAGTATTAATAATAATAATAATCATAACAATCCTTGCATTTGATATAACGCCTTATCACCTCTTCGCGATGTCTCAAAGCGCTCCACAGGATATACTGTAAAGTGGATTGACTGTATATTTTGTAGAATCGGATGGGAAATTCTGTTTAGCCTCATTGTTGGAGTCATTTTTAACCTACCTGCCGCAAAATTCCACGGACCGGGTGTCTGACACGTGCGGAAACCCATCACCACGCTTAAGAGTATCCAAACCAATCTCAGAAGTCCGTGCCTCCCACAGCAAGCTGTGAGTGAATAGGATTCGAGCAGCACATTGGCAGTAAACAGGTTAACTTTAGTGGCTGAAATCACTGTGAGTGTGGACTCGGACTCCATGTTCAACATCTGTAGGAAGTGAGCAGGACATCGTTAATCTATGACGCTGTTTGGTTATTGCTGTTGACAGACCTGCTGATGAACCGGAGCTGTAACCCATTCCAGGGCTCATCAGAGAGCACGAGCTTCCAGTCCCTGATACTTGACGAGGAACGCAGGAAGCTAATGATCGGGGGAAGAGATTGGATTTACCTTTTAAACCTGGAAAACGTGAACAAAAATCCGGAAAAGGTATTGTGTCATTATTGGGTCGGAAATAACCTCACTGGATAAATGTGTTTAATGCAATGATTATCACGTTTAAGAGGTTCTGAAACGCCACTAATTTTGAATCTTAATATAATTCGTAGAAATACAAATATATACTAATTCATCAAGACTCATGTTACTGCTACTTTACTTCCAACTTGTCAGATTTAATATTAATGTTCTTGAAGAATTTCAGACTCCAAACAACTGCACTGATTCACAGAACAACAGCGACAATTACAATTTGTATTGTACGTTTGTATAAACAATTCTTGCGATTGATATAGCGCCTTATCACATCGTCGAAAAGACTCAAAGCGCTTCACAGGATTTACTGTAATGTATAGTGACTGTGTATTTTGTAGGTTTATACAGCAGCCAATTTGTGTACAGCAAAGTCCCACAAACAGCTGTGAAGTGAATGACCAATTTCATCTGGGGGATTGTTGGCCAGACATGAGGAGAAAGTCCCTCCTCTTTTCGTCTAGTGCCATGGGATCTTTAACATCCACCAGAAGAGACAGGTTTCATGTGCTTACTGAAGGATGGCACCTTTGGCAATACAACCTTTCCCCCATGCACTGCACTGGAATGTCAGCCTGGACTATGGGCTCAAAGCCCCTGACTTTCGAAGCTACTGACTGAGCCAGACCGACACTTAGCTTCCAACACTAATTAAAATTGGTCATATCATCAGCATCCTTTAAAGTTGATGTTTCCCACTTACTGAGACCGCACAGCAATAGCTGCGGAGAGATTTATGGCAGCTTTCTGTCATCCGATCACAGTGTTACACCTCTTGCTGTCGCTTTCCGTTACAGTGAAATTAAGATGTTTCCCTGGATTTTGAACCTCATTCTTTGGCTGAAGGGGAGGAGAGATCGGCATGAAGAGAGAGAGAGAGAACGAGAGAGAGAGATTCTTCGTTTACACTTCACAAAGATACTATGTAGTGACTGTGTATTTGTATGCAAACACAGTGGTCAATATGCACACAGCGATGTCATCCCACAAACAGTCAGGACAAAGCCCCACATCTATTTCTGAAGGAATCCTGATAAGCAAACTCGCAAATTAGACTCCAGTGGCTAGATTTTCAGGGACAAAACACCTTTCACAAAATAGAACTATTTTGATCAATTAGAACGTTCAGCGAAGAGATGTCCAGAGTAGAGACAAACCTCCAAACCCATGTTGAAAGCAATGGGGGTTCATGTCTTAACAGAAAATCAGGGTTAGCTTCTTTCTGGTGATGTTTTTCCAGGGGTGGCGTGGGGAGAGGGGCGAAAATGCGACGTTTTCATAACAATTTCAATCTGATAATGATCAAACGTGGCAGTTTTGCCTCATCGGAACGGCTCAGTTAAACATTGCAACACTCCCCCCCCCCCCCAGTTCCCCCTGCTCTTTCCCCTGAAATAGATTCCACAGGGGTTTGTTTCTAATTGTTGTTGCTAGCTCTAAGCACTAACCTTTCGGCTGAACTTGCGGATTGCTGCGGATTGCTTATGGAAAGCGAATGCCACAAATTCCCAAACTAAGCGCTCCACCTGCTCAGCCGTGTCTTCAGTCGAACTATTTCAGCCTTTCAGAAACACTGGTATTAAGAAGACTAAGCAAGGCTCGCCAATGCCACCCATGTTGGATGTTGTCCGGTCAGACAGTTGTATCACTGGTAGCAACCGTATTAATCCTTTAACTGCAATCCTCAGAACAGCCTGTTTAACCGTGAGGTCTGCGTCACTGCAGTAGCGAGCAGCCCTTATTTTGCAATAAAATCCATTTACATGTAGTAAAATCCATTTTTTTTTTACATAAAGTACGCTGTTCAGACTTTTATTTTAAACAGACTCTTGTGAACAAAATCCACGTTGAATTCACCTGGCGCCAACCCTTGTGAACGTTTTGCACGCAGGTAAAAGGGGAATCGGTGGAAGTTAACTTAAAGCAGGCAAGCTCAATAACGAAGAACTCTTGACATAACCCCTTAACGCATTATCAATGCTTCACAAAATTTTAGGTAAAGTGTAGTGACTGTGTTTTTGGAGGCGAACGCCGCAGCCAATTGTGCACACTGCCATGTCCCAGGAAAAAGCTATAATGTGAACGACCAATTGTACGTGTAGCTTGAACTCACAACTTTCTGACTCAGAGGCAAGAGCAATTGAGGTAGAGCAGCTATCATGTACAATGCGGCTTCCAACAGGGAGGGAAAGATTGTGGTCAGCTTGTGTTTATTCTGTATTGATGGCTTGACCTTCTTGTATAGTAGGCCAAGTCCGTTCATATTTACGGAAAAAAAAATGTAAGACACTTGAAAGTAATTGAAGTAAGTTTTTTTAAAAAAATGATTGGAGCTTAACACAAATTTTTCTTTCTTTAGATTTACTGGCCTGCAGCGAAGGAACGAGTGGAACTGTGTAAACAGACTGGCAAAAAGGAAGTAAGAAGCAATTTGCCTTTATTTTTAATATCACGGCTTATTTACATTATCTTGTTGGAAAAATGTGCAATGAATCATGACCACAAATACTTTTAAGGTTTAATAAGTAGAGTTTGTAACAACAACAACAACAAAATTACATTTATAGAGCGCCTTTCACGTCGGGAGGACGTGACATTAAGAACATTTAATGTACAAAATATTAAGAACATGTAACTTTAACTGTTTATCTTCCAACGATTACAATGGGGCGAGAAGGAAGGGTTAAAAAACGGAAGGATTTTGCAAAGTATTTAATGCAATAGTCCAATGCAATATGAAACCAACTTATTTGATCCCATTGTAAAAAAACAATTGTATTAAGAGGTGAATTCAACATTGATTTAACACAGTAAATCTACTTACACCTCAACAAAAGATTATTTGGGTAGAATTTCCAACTGGGTCTGGATTAACTGTACTCTATTAATGCAGCAATTCAGAAGTCTTCAATGCAGTGTTTAAATCTGAAGCCAATTTTGATGTGAACTAAAAGTTAAGACCGAATTCAAAGATTTGCTGAATTCTGCACACGTTGCAATGCTACGATAAGCAAAGTAAAGCTCGACCCAGGTGGAATCTCCACCAATTATTTATTGAAGGTTTTCTCCTGCTGATAATAATAATAATTGTTACATTTGGTATAGCACCTTTCACTTCGGGAGGATGTCCCAAAGGGCTTCACAGGATATAACGCAAAGCGCAGGGATTGTGTAATCTGTGGACAAATGGTACCTTCTAGTAGAAGAGTTCTGCTTCCCACCGCCTACAAAAAAGATTACGTTTCCACATCACACTCCTGGGTGCAAGCCAAATTGGCTCATGTACATTTCCCAGGGAAACGTCAGCATTGTTCATTGGGCTATTCACCAAAATGTATAGGGTAAGGTGGGGACTCTTAACTGGCATCAATCCTCTGGTCAATCCATTTTATGAACTGGCGGTGAGGAGAAATTCACACGCTGAAAATGTGGCCTTGTTCAAAAAAAAAAGACTTTATAGGGCTTTGAATTCCAAGTTTTAAAAGGCTGTTGTGCAGTGGTTTACCCAAGTCATTGATCTGAGAAAATATTCTAATTGAACTTAAGAGAACTCGTAAAAAAAACTGACTTTGTAATTAAGGTTGTACTTCAGAAATTGCCAAATTCTGGACTCTCTAAAACACTGCACAATTAGAGTAAATCTGCCCTTAAATGGAAATTAATAGTAATCCTTGCGTTTAATATAATAGCAATAACAATAGTGAGCAACACATCGTTGAAATGTCTCAAAGAGCCACACAGGGTTTTATACTGTGTATTTTTGAGGGCAAATGGGGAGGCAATTTGCGCACAGGGACATCCCTCAAAGAGCCATGAAGTAAATGAGCGATTTTATTCGATGGATTCCTTTAACTGTGAGGTCCTCACCACTGCAAATTAAACGTGTACAAACAATGTTTTTCCCGAATTGATGAAAGAAAGTCTTGTGGTTAATTCCGGAGAGAGCAAACGTGTCTTTGGTGTTTTTTTTTTAACCACCAGGCAGAGTGTGCGAATTTCATCCGAGTGATACACAATTTCAACAAAACACACGTTTACGTATGTGGGACTGGAGCATTCCACCCTGTGTGTGGGTTCATTGACCTGGGACTCCCTACAGAGGTAAAGTAATTTCATTAAAAAAAATCCTTGCATTTGATATAACGCTTTATCACGTCATTAAGATGTCTCAAGGCGCTTCGCAGAATATACTTAATAATTTAACCATGATTAGTATTAATACTTAATAACATAATTGTTATTAATACTTTCTTGTCGTTATTAATACTTAATAACAATAACATTTGTTATTAATGCTTAATAGCTTGACATTCAGTAAAGGTAACGTACAAACACCGGTCACTCCTGTTGTCAAACCTCGTTGCAAGAAACTCAAAATTGCATTAAAAAAAATTGCTGCACTGTAGACTCCAACGTGTAATAAAATCCGACAAAAATTCTTTTGTCCGTAGTGGATTATGAACTGTCAGATGGTTGTATACTTCCTCCCAATTGGGGACATTGAGTGTTCCCACATCGTTTAACGCTGGAAAAGGGAATAAACTGTGCAAGCTGCAGCTAAGCGTTTGCGTTGATTCTTTGAACCCTCTTCAGCATTCAATAAATTGGGATGTTTATGCCTGTGTTTAAAAGGAGCAGCTGTAAGTGACATCGAACGGACTGACAGTTCCTCAAAGATCTTAGATAAGCTTTTGAATTTCTTCGCTGACAGGTGCTTTCATGGAAGTTTGACAATAAAGCTCTGGATTCGGGAAAATTGAAGTGCCCGTTTGATCCTAATCAACCTTTCGCATCAGCACTAATAGGTAAGGCAATGCTGAGAATGTGAGGTATTCAAGGGGTTGAATGGATTCCTGCATTTGATAGGGACTAAAACGTCACACAAGGTAGTGAACCGGAGACCCAAGGCACTGCCGATGACGGGCCAGTCAGTCTGGCTCACGAATACAGTGCAGGGGAGGATTTTGTCTCACTTTTGAGTAAGCGCTCTGGGACGCTACCCTGCGTGAAGGGCGCTATATAAATGCAAGTTGTTGTTGTTGTTGAATAATCTAGGACTGGGAAATGTGAATCTCGCATGGTGGAAGGCTGGGCTCCATCGCTTCATATCAACAAGTATTTTAAAGAAACTTGGTTGAACTGGGAGTCCGCTCCTGTTGTAAGATAACACAGGAATCAGTGGGGTGTTAGCTCCTGATTTTGTGTCTGGGGTTGGGGAGTAGAGGCACGCTGGAGCCTAGCGGCTCGCTCTCCACAGAAAGTGAGAGAACGGGCAACAACAACAACAACAACACATTACATTCATACAGCGCCTTTCAGGTCAGGAGGATGTCCCAAGGCGCTGGGAACATTGCAACCATTGAGAAAAGCACCTTGTTTTCTTCCATCTCCCCGCAACCACCCACAAACACCCGTGAGAGGGGCAGCTTTGGTGCGATGCGTGACACAGGGAAGGCAAGCGGTTCAGAGGAAGAAGAGAGGTGAAAAACAAAACCAATAAAAGCCCCACTTTTGATTCCTCCCTGCGCAGTGACAGCTCTGGGTTCTCCGTGCACATGTTGCGAGACATCTGCTTGCACTTCTGTACGTTACGTTCTTAATCTCTGGCTCAAGGTAACATTTAGCCATCTGCAGAGATGTTTACCAGTATGGTCTAAACTCTACATTAGACCAGGAAGTTCCACTGTGGAGTACTGAGGAATTCATTATACCATCACCATGAGGTCACGACCACACATGGCTCCGTTTAGTGTTAAATGATTACCCGCTGTCTATCATACTCTCATCCTTTTTGGTATATCTTCTTGCCCAGCAGATGAACTGTATCCCGTCGTGAAAGTTAATTGATATTTACTGCTTACAGTCATTGGGCAGCAACACGTTGTTAATCATTGCCCGTCAACTCTCTTAAATCAGTGTCATTTCACAGCGATGACTTTTTTTTTGGAACAGAATTGTAGTTCTTTGTCAAACTTTCAGGACTCATCTTTGAATGTCTTGCGGCAACATTTGTACAACAGTGACCGCATAAAGTCGCAAGCTTCATTGTGAACTAACCATTATCCACATGGTATGGAGATTTCCTGTAAAGTGCAGTGACTGTGTATTTTTGTAGGTGAACGAGGCAACCAATTTGTACGCAGCAGTGATTCACGAACAGCTACAAAGTGAATGATCAGTTTTATTTGGGAGTGGGGATTGGGGATTGTTGGCCAGGACACCGGAGAAACTCCCTCTCCCCACCACACACACACACATCTCTTTATGAATAGTGCCACGGGGGTCAGTGAAGTAGTACAGTGTTCATAGGTTCACTCACATCCTTTTTTTCCTGGCTCTAACCTCGTAGCGAGTCAGAGCAAACATTAACAGAGAGAGGAAAGAAATGTCAGAAAGCTTAACCAGTACGCATCAGAGAGAGAGAGCACAGCAAGAGGAAGCAGTGTGACTGGACATGTTCAAGATTACCAGGCACTGGGGTGGTGGGAGTGGGGGGGGGGGGGGGGGGGTGGAGAGAAACTTAAAAGAGGATTGATTTCGACATGCCATGCATCCCACACAGTCTGTGGATCCGCTTCACTGACTATAACAGTTCTAACCTACAGCACTACAATCCTTTCCCCCCATGTGGCTGCAACATTGCTTCCTCTTTCTCTGCAGTCTCTCTGAACTGATCATTGATACAGGAGGGACTCGAACTCAATGCTTTCAACTGTTCCATCCAGCATGTGGTCCATTGACAAGAGATCCCTGTCCAAATCGTACCAATTGGGGCGGGCAAGTTTCCAGGGCTATGGGGAGAGCGCGGGTGAGTGGGATTGATCTGGAAGCTCTTTTCACAGACACGATGGACTGATTAGCCTCCTTCTGTACTGTGTGGTTCTATGATTCAGTGATATTAACGACTGGGAGGTCAATTCGATTCTGAGCCTTCTCATATTGTATTATTATGAATATTAACAATTTGACGTCCATAAGACTGAACGTCTCAAAGCGTTTCCCAGTGTTGCTCTAGACTGCAGGGATTATGTATTTGCAGGCGAACACAGCAGCCAATTTGCACACAGCAATGCCCCACAAACAGCCATGAAGTGAATGACCAGTTTTTTTTCTCCAGGGCACCGGGAGAAACTTCCTTCTCTCCTCAAGTGCTGTCATCTGATCTGTAACGTCCACCTGACAGGCAAACATGACCTCGGTTTAAAGCCACATTTGAAGGACGTGATGTAGGGCTCCCACAGCACTGTATTGGAGAGTCAGCCTAGACTATGTGAGCTCAAAGTTGCGATGTGGGTCTTGAACCCACAAACTTCTGACTCGGAGGCGCGAGTGCTGCTAACACAGCTAGGTTAACATCTAGCACCTTGCGCGGAAAGTAGATATACCCTGGAACTTTTTAATAGTTGTCCTGATCCCAGACTGGCAGGAAGGCTATTTGCCAACGGGTCCTAATCACACAGCTATGGGGTGGAAATTCCAGCTGGGTCGAGATTGATTCTATTTACATCGCGTTTCAGAGCGTGAAAGACGTTGAATTCAGTCTTATTTTCGAAGGGGTTTATTTTTCCTCCTGTGAAAGTCCTTAGAAAGAAGCTTTCCAGAGTCCCGGCTTGAGAATTCGGTTCGTATTTTAAACATTTTCACAAATTCTGTGCACTCTGAAATGCTATATTAATAAAGTAAGTCTAGACCCAGGTGGAATTTGCACTGTGTCTTTGATGCTCACACCTGGAAACGTTCAATGATGAATAACACTGAGTATAGTTCTACAATGTTCCCCTTTTATTGCCTACGTTACGTCTCTTAATAACAGGGACTCAATAAATGTGCTGCATTTGGCAGTGACTGAGTTGCTTACAATAAATTAGCTGCTATTAAGTAATTATCTATCTATTACATTGGTTTCCCTGATATAAATTACAAATCTGACAGTGAGCTCCACTATCAACTGAATGGAATGCAAATCGACTGCATGTTTTCCTATCAGTTTTGCTGCTAAGAGAAATATCAATTTGCCAATATAGCAGTGTTTGCTAAATGTTCAGCTGGTTTTGAAAGGCGGGGGAGGGTTGGGGCAGGAGGGGGCAGAATGGGAAAAAATTTTAACGCTTGTGGATTGAAAACTAAATACAGCCACAATAAACCGAACGCTTTCTTTACTGTTCAAAATCCTAAATCGGGCAGAAAAGCATCTGAACCAAATAATAAATCTTTAAGGACATGGTCATATGCTCCTAACCTCTCACCCTCTCTCTGTCTTTAAAGCCCTCCTGAAAACCTACCTCTCCTTCCTCCTATTCCCCGCTTTCTCCCTGCTCGGTGGCCACACTTTCAGCCACTGTGCTCCGAAACTCTGGAACACTCTTCCTCTATCCCTCCACCTTAGCCCTTCCTTCCCCATCTTCAGTCCATGTCTGAAGACCTTCCTCTTCAACCTACGGTCACCTCCCCCCGGCTTAGCGTCGTGCTCTGTCGAGCGCTCTGGGATGCCATCCTAAACCAGGGGCGCTATGTAAGTGCATGTTGTTGTTGTTGTTGGTGGTGGTGTTGTCTGTCAATGGGAATATAATGTAATGGGAAAATCCCACTTGAAAATCACTGAATACGGCACAGAGCGTGCGATCTATAATGGGATAATTGTAATCCCGTTACAAAGACGCAACAAAAAGGCAGGGGATAAGGTAAAACCAATCACGGCTCAATTGTGTCTCTCTTTTGCCTTTAAATCTCCAGATGACCACTTGTATGCCGGGACGTCCTCTGATTTTCTCGGGAGAGACACAGCTCTGTTCCGCTCGCCCATGCGTCACTTGGAAAACCAGTACATCCGCACGGAGCACAACAATCCATTTTGGCTGAGCGGTAAGCCGGGCCGAGGCTGAGTCTGCGCTGAATCATCATGAGTGCGGGGCACAGAGAGGAAGGGAAGAGGTGCTCTGACTGCCGATCAGTGTAGTGACCCTGACAGGAAACCTGTGCGCTTCACAGGAACAACAGCAGAGCGTGGTGGCATCTGCAGATTGTTGGGCGAACAGACGGGCAGTGACCAATTTTATCCACGGGAATTGTTGGCCAGGAGAAGCAGGGAGAGACTCCCTTCTCTTTTCGAATAGATTGCGGCCACACGCGGTCAGAATTCAGGGGAGGATAAACGTCTAAAAGATGGGGTCGGTGTGTTTGTGCGAGTTTATTTCGGGGCTGAATCGAATCGAAATGGATCGAATAACATCTCATGCTCTATCTGTTCCTTTCAGAGGCTAAGTTTGTCGGTATGTACCCTCTCCCTGACACCTCCGATCCAGATGACGATAAAATATACATTTTCCTACGAGAGACGGCACTGGATACCTTGAGCTCTGAGAAAGTTATTCACTCCCGTGTTGCCCGAGTCTGTAAGGTTGGTTTCTTTTTTTTAAAAAAAAAGAAAGAATGATGCGTCTTTATTCACTTTTGTGTCTTGATGTGGTTCATCAAAGCGAGAGGATGTTGCTGGGGAGGGAACAAAATACTTTTCGCCGACAAAATATACAGTCACTCCACTTTACGGTATATTCTGTGAAGCACTTTGAGATATCGAATGCAAGGACTATTATTATTATTATATATTTTTTACAGTTTCTATTTCGTCCTGGCCTCAGGCTTTCCTGGATCAGTTATAGCCAGCTCACATTTAGAATTCTAGCCATCCTTGCACTTGATATTGTGTTTTATTGCCTCGGAACACTTCACAGGAATTACAGCAGAGCCCAGGTCACTGCGGATTTGTAGGCAAACGCGGTAATCAATTTACACACAGCAACGTCCCACGAAGAGCAATGACCAATTTTATCTAGGGGACTGTTGGCCAGGACACCAGTAAAAACTCCTTTATCAAATATAGTCCCATGGGATCTTTAATGTCCGACTATATCGCCAGACTGCACTAGATTGTCAGTTTATATTATTGTGGAACATTTTAAGCAGAATGTGGTGAGAATGTGGAACTCGCTGCCGGAAGCTGTGGTTGAAGCAAAAACCACCAATGTATTTAAGCGGAAACCTGATGAGTACATGAGGGAGAAGCAAATGGATATGTATGGGAGAGGCAAATTGGAGAGTGGAATATAAACTAGCATGAGCTAGTGGGGCTGAATGGTCTGCTTCTGTGTTGTATTACTCTATCAAGACTAACAGTCCATGTCTCTACAATACTGAGAGCACTTTCTGAAGGTTACTTGCTCTCTTCTTCTTTCAGTCCTCTCTACTATCACGAGTTTGAAAATGGGAACAGTTTTGGAATAACCCTGAAATCCAAACCCGCAATGAATTGTGAAACCCCGCATCATTCACACCAAAACGGTTCCAATTGCTGCCCTTAATACTTTCCATTCCTTGTCTCTCCATTTCGATGACAGCGGTCCCTGTAATTGCATGAAAAACGTCTGGTGTAATTGAAATGTTTCCGTGACTGATGCATTGTGTCAGTGGAATGTCACAAACAGAGAGAATATATAGATAGATTTACACACTGAGCCGGGAACTGAACCAGAGGCTGGTAAAGGGTCACAGCCATAGCGTGTAAGTTATCTGGGATGTTTTAAAGTGGTTCCACATGTCTTGGGAGCCTAGCAAAACACTGCTAAAGATACAGAACCTTTCTATATATATATATATATAATACATATATCTATATCAAATTCTGGAGCGCTTGTTGAAATGATGAGCTTCAGAAAAATGTGGAAGCAATGTTTTCTTTCCTTCAGAACGAAACTTCATCGCTCCTCATTTATTGATCAATTTTCCAGCCTTCCTCGAGCAGAAAATAAATCTATCCAAAGAATCAGGGACTCAGAAATTTCCATTGAGTTTCAGATCACTTTGTTCTTAAAACATCGGATGAAACTCGGAATGCGTTTTCCCGTAGTTGTAAAAAGAACCAGTTTACAATTAAAACTGAGTTTAAGAATGTTCCATGTTAATATGTAATATATATGTCTATGTGTATATAAATATATATATCCTGTGAAGTGCTCTGGGACGTCTTCCCGACTGACGGTCCATGTCATTACAATTATTAATCATCAAGATACAATAATATTTCCATACGCCTCCACATTCCATCTTGCACTTTAAGACAAAAGTATCTTGCAGGCTAAGGCAAGGTGGAATTTCAAGCCTGAGGAGCGTAGCTTGGGAGGTAAGTAATTTCTCAAGAAAGTATAGACTTCGAAGTTCATGTACTAAATATGTATACCAAATATTTCCTCTGCATAATCAGCTTTCCAAACATTTATCCCATGTTTTCTTGGGTTCATTCAGAGCGGGTTCAATTGCTGCACAGAAAGTAAAACATGTTTTATTGTTTCGAAATCTAAATTTTTTTCTTTGAAATGAAACCAATTGAAACAATTACATGTTTTCACGACCAATTTGAGTTTACCACGCGCTGGCTGGAATAATAAACAAATACAAATTATGAGTATGACATGGAAATACTTAAGTATGAAACTCCCAAGGAGGTAAAAAAATAAGCTTTTTGTGTACCTTGAGACCCTGACCAAAAGCATTCATTACAATCAGTTGGAGAATTGCTCCAAATATATCTCTGAGGGAACTGAGACTTTTTGTAGAAAAACAAATCTGTTGTCAATCAGAAATCCTTTTTTCCTTTATCCTCTCTTGTTTGTTTTCCTGTTCTGCATTAAGTATGCCTGATTCCTTTAAAGATTGAAAGGCGTGAAAGGTGCTGTATCCAATGTCATAGTGGTAATCCTTGTATTTGATATAGGGTCTTATCAAGTCTCCGAGAAGACTCAAGCCATCTCATAAGATTTGGCTCACAAGAAGCGCAGTGACTTTATTTGGGGGGAGAATGCAGCAGTCAATTTGTGCACAACAATGTCCCCACAGACAGCCATGAAGCGATGGGTCAATTTTATCTGGGGCATTGTTGGTCAGGACCCTGGGGAAACTCCCTTCTCTTTCTGAATAGTGTCCATTGATCTTTAAAGTTGACCTGAACAGGCACAGATGGGATCGTGGTTTGACATCTCATCCAAAGGATGGACCAAATGTACATGCGAATAACTTGCTGACATTGCTGAGTGTGTGTGTGTGTGTCTGTTATGATCACAAAGCCGGAGGATATTGGAGTGCAGGTATAAGGCCATTCACCCCATTCAGCCTGTGCTAATGTTTTTCTCCGCATGAATCTTGAAATCACTCTCCTTAATGTAGCTGTAAAGGAGCTGTGGTCTTATTTGATGCTGATTCCGGAGTTCCCGTGGCTCGGTTGGACATCACGCGTGCTGCACTTCCAGCCAAGGGAAGGAATCCTGACTTGGATTCCTTATAGACGAATCTTATTAGAAATGACCATATATTGTACCCCACTGCTGGCAGGTGTGAAAGACTTGACTACGAAAAAACGCCCAGGTTCTTTTACACTTAGAGCAGGATTCTCTATTCACTTTTTCTCATTCCATGACACATAGGAAATGCTCTGCAGCATCGAATTTCTTTGGACAGATCCCGTGTGTGTTTATCCAGAGCCGATTGTGCTAAAGCGTGCCCTTGCAAGCGATCCTCTGCTGTGTCGCTGACAGCCTGTGTTCGAAGGGCTCTGACCCTGTCAGTGGAGCTTGAGAATTTTATTCCCGTCTTTGTTCAGCCCGGTTGATCCACTTGGCACCCTGCTGCTTAAGCCATCCTCAATGAGCTGGGTTGAAGACGCCCTTTGGTGGTTGAGCTGTTGCGCAGAATGGCTGTCAGATTCCCGACTCAACCCAAAAGGGCATCTTCTCAGCCTGAGGCCTCGTGGAGACTTATCACGACATCGACACTGACCTTTCACTAGAGCAACAACTCAGCTCGAGAGAAAGGTCTTAAGAGTTGATTTTGCTTTGTGCCTCCGTGGCGATCACGTGAATTTGATGCGAATTCCAACTCGCACCATTCACAGCCGATTCCCGAGAATGCCAAACCACCAAAGTAGAAGAGAGCAAGTCTGATATCACGTCCCGCAAACATAGGCTGAAAGCGTAACAGATTGACACTCACTCGGTTTGTACGCAGACTTGACAACCAGCTTCCGTTCTCTTTGGTGAAGTAAGATAACTTTGCATACTGTCTCCTTAAACCAGCCACTAAAGTCTCAATGACATGATAAGACGCTACATCGAATGCAAGGATTATTAATATTATTATATTATTGTAAATGGAATGTACTTTTTTAACCATTTCTTCGGCTAGTTTCGTTTGGGTTTACTGGAAAGCAAGCCGAGGAAGTTTTCTTTAAAATAAGAACCGAAGGTTTATTGCAGTAGATTCATGCTTCATTGTTTTCTAATGCTCTGTGGGTGTCGGAATGAATTTACTGAGATCCAGGAGAAGAAATGTTGGGGGCTATTTAAATTAACCCTTTCCCTGACAGGGTGCTGCATCACTCCTCATTTTGTTGAACGTATGTTCTCCCCGGGATGGCGTTGGATTAATATTCCTGCTCAATGACATCTGCATTTTTTTCCCCCCCAGAAAGACGTAGGAGGCCAAAGGAGTTTGATCAACAAGTGGACGACGTTTCTGAAAGCTCGTCTGGTCTGCTCGGTTCCGGGACCCGATGGTTATCAGACTTACTTTGACGAGCTGCGTGAGTAAAGGTTCCGACTTGTGTTCCACGCGGACTATTCCCAACACTCCTGAGAATATAAACCCATTAATAAAAATCAGCACTGATCCGAATTATTGCCAGAATTGAATGTTTTAGTGGTTTCTTATTTCTTTAGGTGGGGATGGAATCCTCGTGGTGCTTTTACTCCACAAGAGCATATCTTTCTGGTTTTAAGCCAGCTTGCTATTGTCAAGCAAAAGTCGCTAATGATAGATAGACCCCCACATAACTCATTGCGGACACTTATTTGTATTTTCTTCTCTCCTTTAATCAAGAGGATGTTTTCCTGCTCAGTACAAATGATGGAAATCCCCCAGTGGTTTATGGGCTCTTCACATCTTCAAGGTAAATGAACATGAGATTACACCAGGGAGTAATAAAGCAGGTTTAATTTCATTGCCTCTGTTAATAGTTTTTACACCGATTTGGATGAGAAGCTCATTGTTTGAAGGATCAAGCGGAAAGTCAACCTCTGTGCAAATCCGCAGTGCAACACGATCCGCAAACCATCTCGAGTGCACCAGGATATATTGGAGAAAGAGTCCATTCATACAACTGGTGTATTTGATGGTTCTTGCCACTAAATCAGAAGTTTGTGGATTTAAGCCCCAAACCGAAACGTGAGCTCATAAACTAGATGGTCTTCTTCAAATGAGATGTTGAATCAAGGTGCCATCTTCCTATACAGGTGGATATCAGCCTGGCTCAGTTGGTGGCACTCTTACCTCTGAGCCAGAAGGTTGTGGGTTCAAGCCTGACATCAAAATTTTGAGTTCCAAGTCTAGGCTGACACTCAGACACAGTTCTGGAGAAGCGATGTATTGCTGGGGTTATACCAAATGCAAGGATGATTATTGTCACCTTTCCCCTTTCCCCTGCTTTGTTGTAAATTTCTGTCATTATTATGCGCTCCGAGACTCTACCCCACGTGAAATGGGCTACATAAATTTAGGGCTATAAATGCAACGACTGTCACACTTCAAAATAACTTCTTATATAAAGAGCTTTGAGATGTTTCAACGTGTTAAATCGCTGGACCAAATCCAGACGCTTATCAGATCGAAACGATGCATTACACCAAAAAAAATTTCGGAAAGGTATTTAATTTTCTTTGTCTCTCAGTTCAGTTTTCAGTGGGTCTGCAGTGTGCACATACAGTCTGGCTGATATCCGTGCTGCGTTTAATGGACCTTTCAAGCATAAAGATAGCCCTGACCGCTACTGGGTGGCGTATCAGGGGAAGATTCCTTATCCACGACCTGGAACGGTAAGTGTTTCATCTGTTGAATGTTCAGAAAGTGCATCTTTTTGTGGAAACTTCACTCGATTACGTCGATCATCATCAGTGTTACTGGCAAATTACTTGTGGATTGTAAGGGGAATTTTTAAGCATTTAAACGTGGACTTAGATCAAGGGCTTGCTCTCGAAAGAAATCAAATAGAAACGTTATCAGATATTCTGAATATTACATTTATATCACAGCTGTGGATTGTGGAAAGGAGTTTTATTAGTAATAAAATGATAATAGAAAATACTATACTGTACAGTTATATAATGTCTTTCACGTTAGGAGGAAGCCTTAAAGCACTTGAAATATCACATTATAATGCAGCATTTTCAAATGATGGATTTCCCTCTGTCTCTGTCTCACACACACAGTCAGCCAAAATGATCACTCCTCTTGGACTGAACTTTAAGAGATGTCAATAATTTTACTTTGCCTACAAAATGCAGTTACTACTGTAGATGTCACGGCATATCTTGTGAAGCGCTTTGAGATGTCCTCTCGATGTGAAACAGCTATAGTTCCAACAAAGTGCCCATGTGAAATGAGGCTGCTTTTTGCACCTCCAGCAATTATTTTCATCTCAGATTAGAAGATTAGAAGATGACAGCGACCTAATAATCATGTTCATGTAAACCCTGATGCTGTTTTTTTTACTGCAGCAGATCATGAACAAAAATAATTTTCTGCTTTTCCTTCCTTCAGTGTCCCAGCAAATCATTTGATCCTATGATTGAGTCGACCAAAGATTTCTCGGACGACGTGATCGGTTTCATTAAGAATCACCCGATGATGTACAAAACTGTGCATCCAATAAACAAGGCACCTGTTTTCATCCAAGTCAATGCCGGTTACAGAATCACACAGATTGTGGCAGATCACGTCATTGCAAAAGATGGACCGTATGCTGTCCTCTTTCTGGGCACAGGTAAATAGGACACGCCTTGTAAAAGCAATGGTGTTCTTTCTTCAAAATGGTTGGGGAATTCGAGGGCAAGACGGCAAGAATTCAAGACTGTGAGGCGGGGAGTCAGAGGTTCTTAGGAAAGGAGAAGTTATCAGGGTACGGAGTGCTTTGCCAGAATCCAGTGTTAGAGTGGAGAGGAGGGCATTTAAAAGAAAAGAATCGAACTGGCACTTGCAAAGGAAGGGAATTAAACAGAAAGGGAAAAGAGTAATTTTAGATCTAGGAAGGATGGTTTCTCGGAGGTGCAAACACCAACATGAAATAACCGGGTTAAATGGCTTCCCGCTGCGCTCTACATTTCTATGGGTCTGTGTTGTGGATGTATTGCTAAGTTTTTTTCTGTGTGTGTGTGTATGTGTTTAGATGTTGGAACGGTAATAAAAGCCTTGAGTGTTACCAAAGACAACTTTAGTGCCGACGAAGTTGTGCTTGAGGAACTACAAGTCTTTGAGGTATGCTTCCCCTTCCTGGCAAATTCGAAGTTGTGTTGTGGGTTTTAGATGCAAGCCATTGAATTACAGTTAACATTGCGCTCTTTGGAATTTTCTTTAGGAATCTTCTCCGATATTAACGATGGAATTATCGTCAAAGCAGGTGAGCAATCCAGAGTACAATGCATTGCAGCCAAACCAATGTACAGTACATGCTTTTCCCCCCCTCCCCCCTTGCCAAATTCAATTCGCTCTCATTCTGAATTGACAGCGTCCGAACTACCTATTGGTTAAAGCTTCTAACGGTAGGTAATAACTGTCAAATTACTACTAGCAAATAATTATTAGTTTGGAAACAGGCTCATCTTGTGGTGTGATATTGCTGCCACACAACCTACAGTGAATCTGACTTGTGCACACTGCATGAGAGGCCAAAGATCTAAGCTGTTTCTTGTTTTTCACCCAGTAAGTAATTCAAGCAATACTCAAACATGTCAGAGACGGCTCACTCCAATGTTACTTAACGATTTGTTACCGCATGTAATTGACGCACATTCAAGACCCCGTGTTAACGTGGGACTGATGTACTTTTTATAGAAACAACTTTACATTGGATCAAAGGATGGCATAGTACAGCTTGCCCTGGAGAGGTGCAATACCTATGGCACCTCTTGCTCTCAATGCTGCCTTGCCAGAGACCCCTATTGTGCTTGGGATGGAACCTTGTGCAGTAGATATACGCCAGCGCCCAAGAGGTACGTTGCTGAATGATTAGTGTGTGGCTCTTCGAAGTTTGGGTGAGGTAGATTGTAACGTGGCAATATCATGTGCAAAACAGGCATAATGTGAAGGATTGACTGAGAATTGAGTGGCGGCATTGGGAATGGAAGCCAGATATGTGTAGAGTGATGACACATTTGAAAAGGACCACTGGGTAATGTGTCAAACACCTGATCTCTTTTGAGAGGCTTTACTATCACTGTATAAAGAGCTCTGGGAGCCTGCTCACAATATCTCATGTTCGCCTGCAAAATATACAGTCAATGCACTTTACAGTATATTCTGTGAAGTGCTTTGAGACGTCTCGAAGACCTGATAAGGTGTTAAATCAAATGCGAGGCTTATTATTATCAATATTTATTATGTTTTGTGTGATCATGAGCGACCACACGCAATATTTCACACAGAGCAAGATGTGTGTAAGTACTGGCTCACTGACAACACCCTCGTGACTTACTTAACGTGAAGCCTTTTTAACTGAAGAGTTGACAGACTATTATTTCTCCTTTCAGAGAAACCAGGCGTCAAGATGTAAAGTACGGGGACCCAAAAACTCAGTGCTGGGATCAAGAGGACTGTGAGTGATTGAGAGAGGAATGTGACAATTATTTGCTGTCCATCAGTGCTCCAGGGATTCTTTTGAGGGATAGCAGCCTTGCAGTTGCAGCTGAGAGTTCAATACTCTAGCCGAACATTGCTGCAATGAGCCATTCGGTAATTTTATTCCAAATAGCACAGAGCCTGTCACTGTGGCCAAGTTTTTTTTACACTTTGAGGAAACGTTTGAAGGGATCATCTGCTCGGATATCATAGAACCAGATATGACAGCTCACACGGAGGCCATTCGATCCATCAATCTAACTCTTCCACGGGAGCTGTACACTTTATTTCAAATTCCCTCACTTTCCTGTATATCGCTGCCCCTCAAATGCTTATGCAACTCCCACAAAAGCCCATAAAATACACAGTCACTACACTTCTCAGTAAATCCTGTGATGCACTATGAGACGACATGAAAGGTGCTGTATCAAATGAAAGGATTACTTTCATTGAGTGTTGTGATCTTAGCTTCAACAGTTACTTGCGGTAAATGCATTTCATGTTCTCAAGGCGTGTTTTAAAAAAGAAAACTTAGAACCGCTGCCTTAAATCTTGTAAAAACAATCCTGAGACTTCTTGTTACCAGTCCATTAACTGGTGGGAATATTCTTTTCATCATTTATCCTCTCAAATGGTCTCCAACGATGCTGATCGCACTTCCCTGCTCATGGCAGTGAGATTCTAACAGGACGTTTTGATTTGTGGATCGAATTCTACGCAGATCAATTACGCAATGGGCGACATGATTATTATCACGGCTAAGAATTAACACATCACATACTGGACTTTTGCTCCCATACATGTTTTTTTTTTAAGTTGTTGCCCTGGTCGGTCACAGTTGTATTCGGTTTCAGTAACTACAGGACTCTTCTCCGCTTTAACCTTCGATGTCAATTGGCGAAGTTAACTTGTTATTCTGTCATGTGGGTGAACATCCCGTTCAGCTTAGTTTTCACACCCACTGCGTGAGAAGGACAGCACCTCTGGCAGTGCAGTGATTTTCCCCCAGTGCTGCATTAGAGTATCAACCAAGAATGTGAGCTCAAACCCACAAGACTTGAACCCACAACCTTCCGACTCGGGAGGTGAGAAAAGCTACCGACGGAGCCAAGTTTGGGGGAATCTCGCAGGTCACGACAGTGGCTGAGAATAACTCAACCGTCAACCTTTAACCTGTGCGAGTTGTTTGGTTCACAGATCCCATGAATCATACATTTAAAGGGTCCATAATAAAAATCTAAATGTTGGAATTTTAGACCGTAAATGCTGCAGGTTTTCACCACAGCTGTTTTTGTTTTGGGGCTGAATGCAATGCGATCCATTCTGCCATCTTCCTTTTATATCTAGCGCAAGAAAGGATTAGAAGTGGAATTTCTGAATTCACTGCTCACTTTAGACGTTTCCCGTTACATAGATACGAGGCACCCGCTGACTGAGAAGAAGCTGATTTTCGGGATGGAGAATAATTCCACGTTCTTGGAATGCGTTCCTAGGTCCCCGCAAACGTCTATCGCCTGGTTCATTCAGCGATCGCTGGACGATCAACAAGTGGAGGTAAACTGGAGCGGAGTTTCGCCCACAAAATATACAGCAAATTTACTTCACAGCATATTCTGTGAAGAGCTTTGAGACGTCACGAAGACACTATGAGGCGCGATATCAAATGCAAAGTTTATTATTATTAGAATTAGAATTATTATTATTATTGGTCTAAACAGTGCATCTGAGCAGGCGCCACATTTCGAACTGGAAATCCAGGGATTGGAAACACATTAGAAAATCATCGGCTTGAATCCCACCACTTCCCCGATAGCAATGCGCAGAGTATTTCTCACATTCCGTATCCCTCCTGGAATTGAATTTCATGACAATACGCCACACAAAATTGATCCCAGTGGTGCTTTCCCCCCGACCCCAGCTCATGAGTGATATAGTACCCAAGGGTACTGCTAATGACAGACCAGACATCCTGGCTTATCAGCAGGCCTTGGAACAGGGATTTTTTCCGCTCGGCTTCTGTTAACCAAAGCCCTGATGATTAAGGTTGTCCTAACTGGACAAGCAGCGGGAAGCTTGCCAAAAAGTGCTCTCAGTGGTCAGCTATGCAGTTTTAGCTGATTAAAATCTGGTAGTTACTCCAACGCACACTCTCAGGTCTTACAGTCTTGGCTCCTGTAAGCCTATGCCAAATACTCTCCCAAATTAAGTCCCTAGAGAGAAAGAGAGAGTGTGTGCATTTCATTCCAGACATAGGAACATTTTTGTGTAAAGTGGCATACACAGTACATGTGGAACTCTCAGTCTGGTTTGGATACTCTTAATCACTGCAAGGATATTCAACTGTATGTTACTTAATCTGATTTTTTTCCTATAGATTAGAGATGCTCCCAGAATGATCAAGACAAGACTTGGGCTACTCTTACGCAATTTGCAGCAAGTCGATGCTGGAATATACTACTGCAAAGCAGTGGAAAACACATTTACACAGATCATCGCAACGTTTCACCTTAAAATTATACTGAGTGACTTGATGGTAGCTCCCTTGAGGGCAGAGCCCAGCGAGGGAAAGGGCAAAGACACTCGGAACGGAACACGACTGCGTTACAAGAACTTGCTGAAACTATTAAATAAGCCGGGCGCAACTGTAAATGAATACTGCGAGCAGGTATGGCGGAATGGAAAGAGAGGACAAAATGGAAAAACCGCAGCCAAATGGAAAAGCACAAGAGAATTTAAGAGATACTAGACTTGGGACAGCCTATAATTGTCACTTATCTTCCTTTGGGCAAAACATTCCAATAAAAGCTATTCACTAGACTGTTGCTTCAGATCAACAGTGGGACCACCTAACTAGGTTTTGCCTCAGGTATATTATTACTGACTGGAAAAAAAAACCTACTGGATGAAAAAGCTAACAAGCGTGTATAATGAGTATGACTATGCACAGGTACATTTCTATCATTTAGCATTAGATATTGTTTTAAAAGGGCAGTATGCTCTTAAGAGGGAATGTTCGTGTGAGAAAGCGCTCGCTCCACGGGGTTGAGAGGAAAATTGTGGGCACCGGAAAAATTGTTCTTGAACGTGTAAGGAGACAATCGTAATGTTTGCTCAGTGGAAGCCTGCATGGTTACTCATCACGTCTGATCAGAAAGGTGCACAGCAATGTATATGTGAGGTTTATCAGCATGCGGAGGTCACCAGCTATTGGTGGACATCTCCTCAGATCTTGGGTGACATTGTCAGACTGCTGCGAGTTTAGTCCCACTTGAATCTCAACCAACGCATACTAGCCCTCCTTGTTATTGGTTTAATTAGACATGTAATAGATTCCCTGCCATTGCAGGCGAGAGACCGAATCAACTGCATTGGAGTCTGCTGTGGAATTCATTTTAATAAGCAAAAAGCATATGTTATTCAATCACAAATAAGACACGTTGCTCCTTTTAAACATATACTGACTGGTGTGCAAAGTAATTTCTAAATAGCCTTATATAGTTATGTTAAGCGCATAGCCGATCTGTCTGTAAAATGCAGCGTCTGAATATACATTACACCTTCACCTTACTATTTCCTACGCATATTATTCAAAGGAATAGTCTGATGTAGAGTGTTTTGACTCCTGGGTCAACAGGATGCTGGTCTGTAAATGCTTTAAGCACACACCATAATATCCAAACACTGGTCTGAACTAATAATTTTCCTTGCTCTGTAGAAAAAGGGAACCTCCAGCCTTGACTCTGAAATGTAATTATGTTGTATCCTCTGATCTGTTAGTGTTTGTAATTTGGCTCTCTTTATATTTACATCTTAACTTTCTGACCACGTGCTTGGATAATAGTCGCACTTTTTATTAGACCTCGAAAGCCTAAAATGTGACATAGTAGTTTTAATAATAATCCTTGAATTTGATACAGCGCCTTAGCAAGTCTTCGAGACGTTTCAAAATGCTTCAGAGTATACTGTAAAGTGAACTGACTGTATATTTTGTGGGTGAAACGCGGCAGCCAATTGCGCACAGCAGTGTCCCACAGACAGTCGAAGATTGAGTGACCAAATTATTATTTTTTCCATAACGTGATTAATAACTGTGTTTCTGATAACCATCAGATCCCATTACTAAAACCCACACAACTCTGTTTGGATAATGTGTGACTTTGGTTGAAATCAAGGGTCACAAAAATGTTTAAAAAGGGATGTGAAACATTCCTGTTCAGTCCTTAAAACGCACGTAATTCCCTTGACAAATCAGTTAGGGGAGTGGGACTAGTTGGATAGCTCTTTCAAAGAGTTGGCACAGGCACAATGAGCCGAATGGCCTCCTTCTGTGCTGTAGGATTCTATGATTCTATGATTATGAACCTGCATTGAAAGTGGTGAGAGGACAAAAGCATCCTAATGGTACTGAGTTGAACAACACTAGTTGTAATGAAATCATCATCATCTGTCTAACATGTAGATCAGGCCTCCCATTATTCTTCTTACGTGGAGCAGTGGAAGTTTTGTTAGACCTCAATGGGAACAGGTGCCTTCAACCACAAAGAGTTCATTTCGGTCTACACGCCGACTGAATTTGTTAATTACGCATTCAAAATACTCGCAGCTGAGATACAGGAAGTAATCAACGTTAGGATTACAAATCCTTTGTGAGCCCAGTCAGTAGGTTGCAAGACAGGCTTGCAATCCGAAGAGGCAGACAATACAACATCTGCCTTGGAACAGAATGTCTTTGAAACCCTCTTCAGTGTAATGCTTGAAATAGATTCCCCCCCCCCCCACCACCCACACAAGATAAGCTGACCACTTTGCCATATGTATACACACGCACTGAACTTATTGCATTCTTTGTCTTAAGTAAAGCATCGCTAATGGAAAATCTGCTCACTCTTGAACGTGGCAAACAGAATTTTTTTTAACTTTTTTTTGAAAAAGAAAAATTAGGTTTCAGGATTCCGTTTCGGGTTTAACGGAAACCATTTTCTCAAATGTTACCCAAACGAGAAAAAAATGTTTTTGAAAGCTGAAAAATAAAGGATAATATTCTGTTTGTGTGAATATAAACTGGACATTTTATGAAGAAACCTTTGTACAAGTTTGATGTTTTATTTTAAAAAGAATGTATTCATGGTAAAGTCACACTTCAATGTTTTATTATGTGTTTTCAAAAATACTGTGTATATAAATATATTGCAGTATATGTATTATATTTATGTGTGTATATATATGTTAAGATCTTAGACCATTTACATTACTTTGGGTTCATAAACTGCTGGATCCATCAAAATAAATGTAGGCAACAAAACGTTCAGCAAAATCGTTTATGAATGTTTTGTGACCAGTTGCCAGATTGAATAGAAAATGATCTTGCTGGCGTGGGCAGGTTCGTTGGGAGCGACCATGGAATAGAGCAATGCCGAGGTCAGCCTGAGGTCTGCCCAAGTGAGCAAGACAAAGTCCCCAGGTTCCAAGGAAAGCATTTGTGCTCTCGGATGTCCAGCTGAATGTGCTCTTGAACCTGCAACCTTCCTAACAGCTTTAGAGGAACCCTGGGTTAGGGCGACCCTTGCTGGAGGATAACAGTAACTCAGGTGATTGCATCAAAGGTTGATTATTATTTGCCTATAAAATGCAGTCACTGCTCTTTAGGACAACCTCCTGAGTTGATAAGGTGGTATAGCCGATGCAAGGTTATTTTTATTGCAATACAATACACAGTTACTAGGGACTTGTGATGTCGTTGAGATGGGACCTCGGTTGAACATCTCATCCAAAGGACGGCGTCTCGAACAATGAATGCTTCCCCATCACTGCGCCAAGTGTCAGCCCAGACGGCTTGAGCTCAGAGTGCTGGCTTGAACCTCACGTGCAGCGCGAGCCCGAGTAAGTTTCTGAGGGCGGGAGCCAGTGTTCTGTGGAAGGATGAGATCAAATGATCCTAACTGCATAATCTGACATTAGCAGCGACACCTCTATATAGTCTGATATTAGCAACAACACCTCTATATAGTCTGATATTAGCAGTGACACCTCTACATAGTCTGATATCAGCAACAACACCTCTATATAGTCTGATATCAGCAACAACACCTCTATATAGTCTGATATTAGCAACAACACCTCTATATAGTCTGATATTAGCAACAACACCTCTATATAGTCTGATATTAGCAACAACACCTCTATATAGTCTGATATTAGCAACAACACCTCTATATAGTCTGATATTAGCAACAACACCTCTATATAGTCTGATATTAGCAACAACACCTTTATATAGTCTGATATTAGCAACAACACCTCTATATAGTCTGATATTAGCAACAACACCTTTATATAGTCTGATATTAGCAACAACACCTTTATATAGTCTGATATTAGCAACGACACCTCTATATAGTCTGATATTAGCAACAACACCTCTATATACCGACATTAAGGGGTGACACCACTTTTTGTGAAAAAAAAGGTCATCATCGGTTGTCAAGCTGTCTGGGGTGCGCTGTAGCACAGGCGCCTGTAGGTGGCGCTGTAGGAGGAGAGCGTCAGCGTGAGTGAGTGAGTGAGTGAGTGTGCGTGCGTGGGAGAGAGGTTGTTGTGCGCAGGCGCAGAGCCGGCACCGCAGAGCGCCGCCCGGGGAGCAGTCGGGTTGACAGTTGGCGCCGCCGCCGCCGCCGCTTCTGCCTCTGTCTCTGCCTCTCCCTCCCTCACTCGCCGACCGAAAAAAATGGTGCTGGACTTGGACCTGTTCCGCAAGGACAAGGGAGGGGACCCCGAGCAGGTCCGGGAGAACCAGGTGAAGCGCTTCAAGGACGTGTCGCTGGTGGACAGGCTGGTGGGGGCGGACGCGGAGTGGAGGAAATGTAGGTACCGGTGGAGGAGGCCTCGAGTGACGTAGGAGGGGGTGGGGGTGAGGGGGAGGAGCCAACTAGTGACCCCGCCCCCTCCCCCCCCCCCCACACACCACACACATATGATAATAATAATAATAATAATAATAATAATAATAATCCTCGCATTTGATATGGAGCTTTTCGCGTCTTCTCGGCGTCTCAAAGTGCTGCACGGAATGCGCTGTAAAGTGAATCGACTGTACATTTTGGGAGGAGGGGGGGGCGGGGGGGGGCGGAACGCGGCCGCCAACTGCGCACGGCGGCGTCCCCGCCGAACAGCCGGGGGGGGTTGAAAATGACCCAGTTTATTCTTGTCTTATGAGGGGATTGTTATGAGGCGCGCGGAGTGAGGAAGCTCGCCCGAGGTTTCGCCCCCCCCCCCCCCCCACCCACCCACCCCCCCCCCCCCCTCCCCGCCTGGAATTGAACCCCGGGCGTCTCGCTTGCGAGGCGAGCGCTCCGACCACCGAACCACCGAGCTGCAGGGCTCCGCAAATCTCCCCCACTGCACTGAGAATAACCCCGACCCCCCCACCCCCCCACGTTCAAGTTTATTTTTGTTGTGAGTGTTTGTGTGTGTGGTGGGGTGGGGTGGGGTGGCGGGTGTCATGTCAGGGATATTGGAAAGATTCTGGATCCTTCCATATATATATATTAATATATAATAATATGATATAATATATATATTATAATAACGATAATGCTTACATTTCCTCTGGATTTCCAGGTCGAAATGTGGCGCCTGCTCAAATGCCCATTTTAAAAATGATTATAACGATGATAATGATAATAATAATTCTCTCACTTGATACAGCGCCTCATCGGGCCTTTGAGACGTCTCGAAGCGTTTCGCAGAATACACTGTAAAGTAATTTGACTGTATATTTTGTGTATATGCATGTTATTAGAGTAATAATAATCCTTGCATTTTGCATATAGCGCCTTATCGCGTTATCGAGACGTCTCGAAAGCGCTTTGCAGGGTATATCGTGATGTGGATTGACTGTTTTTTTTGGGGGGGGGCGAAATGCGGGAGACAATGGTGCACAGCATCGTCCCACAAGCAGTCATGGATTGAGTGATCCAATTATTATTTTTTAATAAATTTGAGGGATTATTACCACCCCCACCCCCCAAAAAAAAGGGGCCGATATCATATCCTCCACATTCTGGTGCAATAATAATAATCCTTATAGTTTGCATACATAGCCTTTGGTGTAATAACCATGTGGTTTCAGTAGGGTGTATGCTATTGATTCTCACAGTCTGATGCAATCAAGTGCAAGAATTGGGATAGATAGAGACTCACCAGTCGTAGGAATTTAAGTAAATTAAATCTCCACGTATTATTGTATTTAAATTGAAATGTTCATTTTTGAGGGGCAGACAATTAACTGCAGGCTTATTTTGTTTCTATCTTGTGAGGTAGTGTAATGTCCAAAACGACACTTTTTACATTTGCCTGTAAAAAGATGAAATCCATTTGGAATAAAAACACTATAAATAACAGGCCCAGCAAATAGTCCAGAACATGCAGATAGATGTAGAAATAATCTTTGCAACAACTAGAAAATAAAAAAGCAAGCCACTTGCATATTTATGTGGCCTTAATTTATAAGTAGTAGTGCCAATAAAAAAATATTATTTTCAACTGATGAGAATTAATGTACAGTACTGTAATTGTATTACTTCCAAGTAATTAACCGTAAATTACGGTTTAATTGAACTGGTGTGATCACATTGCAGTCATATTTCTCAGAACAGAACAGGACACCTCACATTGTTGCATCATACTATGAGATGTGCATTATTGTCTAACGATCTCACAAAGTTGAACAATTTGGAATAAGAGGACTGATCTAGTCTTTGTTCTAATGTTTAATCTGACACTGGATAAGAATAAAGTACAGCAATGTAAATACAGGGAAGGAATTATTTAATAATATTGTGTTTGAAGAATATCTTTGAAGGAGGCAAGCATCCAAGACATTTTTTGACAATGCACAACCTAATACAAAATAATCTTGTTCAGGTTGTGATAAATTGATCGACTGATAATTGGCAAGTGCTGTACTGAACTTACATAAATTAAAACATGGGTCAATGTGCATTACAGTGCAAGTTGAGCCATTTTACACTGTTTCTAGTTATTGTATTTACAGATGTTAGAGTTTCCAACTGCTTATGTTTCTTTTTTCCTTTCTCTTAGGCCGGTTCCAAGCAGATAACTTGAACAAATTGAAAAACCTCTGCAGTAAAACAATTGGAGAGAAAATGAAGGTAAATAAGAGTAGGCCTAAAAATGCCGCAAAATTTGCCCTTTTCACTGCAGCGAACTCAGTAACCAAGTGCCCTTTCAGTAAATAATATTTATTATTTCTCATATCTTGTCTTATTAATGACATCATATGGGAAATGCACAGAGCGAATAGAAAATGTAATCCTGCAAGCCGACATGTAATGTGTAAGAGAGATTGCAAAATCGATTCTAGTTTGTTCGATATTTAATTTCTCCGCAGAAAAAAGAGCCTGTGGGTGACAGTGATGCCTTACCAGAAAGTGCAGAGAATTTGGAAGAACTCAACGCTTCAGTCTTAAGTGTAAGGGACCCTGATTTGATAGTCATCCTGCGTTTCTGTTGTCAATAGTAAGAATTTTTGTGTTTTTTTAAAAAATCTATAATTTACTCATCAATTTGAGAAATTGACAGGAATGTTGAAGTCTGTAGTCCAAAATTCCACCCCCAAAAATACAGTCAAATCACTTTACAGTATATTCTGTGATGCACTTTGAGACGTCTCGAATGCGTAATAAGGTGCTACATCAAATGCAAGGATTATTATTATTAAAATGAACTTGCAGTGAGTTATAGCTAGATATTTGCAAGATTATGGGTTAAGAACGGGGGAGTGGGACTAGTTGGGTAGCTTTCTCAAAGAGCCGACACAGGCACGATAAGCAGAATGGCCTTCTGTGCTGCAAGATTCTATGTTTCTATGATTTGATCCATTTAAGAGGAAGATGACTACATTGCAATGTCGTGTTCAAAATTTCAATTCTTTCCGCCCTTCCCCAAAGAAGTAACATGGTTTGCTATTCTGTGAGGACAACAGCACATCAAGATGTTGATAACTACTTTAAAGACTGGTAGCAATTTGCCCAATATTTAGGCCCAAAGCAATGCCTTGTCCTTCTTACGGTCTGGTCTGTTGGGGGAAGGGTGGGGGGAAGTTAAAATTCAAATCGCAGGGATTTCTAAGGACAGTCTACTTTGAGGTGCTGACATCAACATCCATTACTACCTTTGTCAGTGGCTGAAAGACAGAAGTGGTGTTTTTACTCCCAAAGGGTTATTAACTAAATAAGTGTCAGAGGAAAGTGATTGAGAGCAAAGTTGCCCGATATTCAGGAGGTGCTTTAATTAAGATTGGGATCTATGCCGTACTGACTAGGTATGAATGCTGTTCTGTCCAGAATTAGTTGATCATGAAGGTAATAAAATAATAAAATAATCCTTGCATTTGATATAGCGCTCTTCTAGATGTCTCAAAGTGCTTCACAGAATATACTGTAAAGTGAATTGACTATATTTTTGGGCGAAACGCGGCATCGAATTGCGCACAGCAGCGTCCCACAAATAGTGGATTCAGTGACCAAATTATTATTTTGTTGAAGGATTACTATCCCCAGAAAAACGATCTGCCAATCGACTAATAACCGGGTTCCTACTTACTGCTAGGTAAACAGAGGCGTGTGGAGTAAGGAAACTTGCCCAACGGTTCGCCCTGCCGGGAATCAAACCCAGATCTCTCGCTTATGAGGCGAGTGTCTAACCACTGAACTACAGGTCTCCAAGATCCATAGTTATTGGTGCTCATTTAATACAGCATTGTCGCATAAGTTGTAATAATTGAATGGGGCAGAGAATAATTGATTGTTCAAAGATCTTATGTTTCTTATGGTTGGACTATATTCTGTTTCAGGGTTTAACTGTAACTCAGATCAAAAAAATACGGATCCATGTTGATGAAGCCATTGCAAAATGTGATGTGGATCGTCTGAAACTAGAGGGACAGAGATTGGAAAGCCTGAGAGAAATTGGTAACGTGCTACATGCCTCTGTACCCATCAGCAATAATGAGGTAAGAAGAAAGCTTGGTTTGGATTCCTAGTTTGACTTCTGCAATTTAAAAACTGTAAAAGTGAAAAGCGAAGGCAAACTAATGGGGTGCTGGGAAGTGAATGATTTTTTCCTAGTTGTGCTCGTACTCAGGAATTGAAGTGATATCTTGTCCAGTAGTAAAACTGTTAGTATTGACCTATAACTTCTGCTGTTATACATGGGCTTGAGTTGTTGAGAGTTCTGTGTGTGGAAGACTAAGAAGTCAGAGTTGTTTTTAATCCTGGACGCCTGATAAGTCCCTTTAATAATATTGACAAGCAATCCCTTGGTTCTAGGTACATTTAAGAGAGGCCAACTCTGAGCGGATCCCAATACAATTCTCACCTCTAGCCTGTATATTGCAGCAATACGATTGATGTGTTACCAAAACCATCTTCTCAGAGAATTCTTGACAGCAGAGTTCCAGCTTGCTTCAGTTTCAGATTTTATGTACAACCCTGTAGAGTGCTGTGTTTTCACAAAAAAGCATAGGACAAACTGGGCATCAGTGACAGTGTGCAGCTGAAAACACTCACAGACTAGTTTAATGCATGAGGAATGATCACTTGAGCACGGTATCAAGTCATCAGCCACTTTTAGAACTTTTTTAATTACTATCTTTAGGGGGTGGTGGTGGGAGGAGATGATTATAAGCAGTAAGAGAGACTTAAGACTATTATGGGAGTTCTATGTGAGTTGTGTTGTGTGTGATGATAATTTGACAAAGGAATTACAGTTGTCCTGGCTGTTCTGTCAGTTTGTTGGGAAATAATTTGGAATGGATCATTGGAAGATTGTATCTCTACTACATACATTGCTGTTATAATCCAAGTTGAATATTATAAACTGCAAACATCATTGAGTAATTGTCTCCTTGCATCTGATTCAGGATACAGATAATAAAGTAGAGCGAACATGGGGAGATTGCACAATTGCAAAGAAATATTCTCATGTTGACCTGGTGGTAATGATTGACGGATTTGAAGGTGAAAAGGCAGCTGTAATAGCAGGCAGCCGTGGGTACTTCTTGAAGGTAAATCTTAAGAGGTTCAACAACTAATATTTTGAATTGGTAGATGTTTCTTGCAGGTTAAAAGACATTAATTAAATAAGCCCTTTAACCAGAGGGAAAGTTGAATTGGTAGTGGTAGTCGGTTTTGTATCTCAGAGAAACAACTGTAAAATACAAGTGTGATGAAGTGGAACATCACAATAGAAGTGCAGTGCACTCAGTACTTTTGTCTCATTTCGCAGGGGCCATTAGTGTTTCTAGAACAAGCTCTGATCCAGCATGCTCTGCGGACTCTGGTTGTTAAAGGTTACACTCCGCTCTATACGCCATTCTTTATGAGGAAGGAAGTAATGCAAGAAGTGGCCCAGCTCAGCCAGTTTGATGAAGAGCTGTACAAGGTAATAAAACCGCATTTTACACTCGTAGTTACAAGGGAAGCTGCTTGAAGTTCCTTCAAAGGAAACTTAAATAACAACTTGCATTTATATAGCGGCCTAGACGCCGGACAGCATCTCGGAGCGCTTGGAAATTTACCGCTTAGTAAGCAAGCCAAAATAAAGGAGTCACAAAACTTACACACTTTGTTGTCCTTTTGTTGTTTTTGTTAATTTTCCAGGTTGTTGGTAAAGGCAGCGAAAAAGAAGATGACAGCTCAATTGACGAGAAGTACCTGATCGCGACTTCCGAGCAGCCGATCGCAGCCTTTCACAGAGACGAGTGGCTGAAACCCGAAGACCTACCCATTAAATACGCCGGATTCTCCACCTGTTTCCGACAAGAGGTTGGCTCGCATGGCCGTGACACCAGGGGCATCTTCCGTGTTCACCAGTTTGAAAAGGTACAGTGAGAAAATCTGTCAACACACAGGGTTCCACTGGCACTGGGTTGCTCAATGAGTCGTGTGTATTGTACCCCGTGATTTCAATCGCTGAGCTCTGCTGAATTAACTGATCTCGCATGGAGTGGGATGTTACAGTTGGTCTCAATGATCAGGGTTTGTTAATCTTTGTTAATCAAATGTAATCTTGTTAACGTCAATGTAAAATAAATAATCTCTGCGAGAGGTCCATAAAGGTGGACTTCAGTCGAAGATAGGATCAGGCTTACTGTAATGCCACTGCATGACTCACTACCAAGTAAATTAGACGTACAGTAGTTATAAATAAAAGTAGTTATAAAACTAAGACTCAGTTTACTAAATAAGCCAGTACGATATTGTAAATTGTGAGCAATTCCTTGTTAAAGGTGTCTAGTTTATGAAATGTATTCCTGAAAAATTCTAATAAATCTTAAAGACTGGCTTCTAACTTGGTATTTTGGATTTGCAATCAATATTTGTCGATATTTCTCTCCCCCTCTTCAGATTGAACAGTTTGTCTATGCTTCCCCTCATGAGAATAAATCGTGGGACATGTTTGATGAAATGATCGAAACTGCTGAAGACTTCTACCAATCTTTGGGCATTCCCTACCGCATAGTAAATATCGTCTCAGGTACCTGAAAAATTGTAGATACTGATCAATAAATTTTTACAACCTGCTCATGTATTTGCTATAAAGTTTCATACTTTTTATACCGTATAAACATATCCTTGCCAGTTAGCAAATGGGACTATTAATTGTAAAATCAATGCAAAATGTTATTTCAGCTTTGACATTCTCTGTTATTTAGGCAAGTGAATTGACTCAACAGCACACATACATCGAAAAGGGACTTAAATATTTTTTAAACTGTGTTCTAGGTGCATTGAATCATGCTGCAAGTAAAAAGCTGGATTTGGAAGGCTGGTTTCCTGGCTCCAGTGCATTCCGTGAATTAGTGTCTTGTTCCAACTGCACAGATTACCAAGCACGCAGGCTACGAATCCGATATGGACAGACCAAGAAAATGATGGACAAAGTAAGTCAGAGAATATCTAGGATATGGGGAGGGGTGGGGGGTGATCGTGCAATGTAGAATACATTTAAAATAACCTTTTTTTTCCCTGTCCTCACCAGGCCGAGTATGTGCACATGTTAAATGCTACAATGTGTGCGACAACCCGTGTTATGTGCGCTATTTTGGAGAATTACCAGACACAAGATGGTATTGTGGTGCCCGAAGTGCTTAAAGACTACATGCCACCAGGTAAGTGAAAATTGGGTGCTCCTGTGTTCGTATTTCATGTCATTGTTTCTTAAACAAAATCTTGGGTTATGGATTAAAGGATTGGTATAAGACCACATCCCTGCATCTGTTGTACAAGTCAGTTGAGCTGGAAAGTCTCAAACTGCAGTTTTGCTATATACAGGAGACTAGGGTATAAACCATAATCTGACATTGACGTCCTGGACAATGGGTATTGTGGTAAGATTTGATTGGGTTGCAAGAGAAGATTGTATAGGGTTGATGGAGCTGAGATGCACTGCCAGGAAAATATAAGCTTAGTCCTGTTTTATCCGATCTATGTCTAATCTTGCGAATGCTTGATCTATTGTACGAATATAATAATGATAAGCCTTGCATTTGATACACCGCTTTATCGTGTTTTCTAGACATCTCAAAGCATTTCACAGAATATACTGTAAAGTGAATTGATTGTATGTTTGGGCGAAACACAGCAGCCAATTGCGCACAGTATACAGGAAAGGAGAGGGCAAGGCGGAGGAATTAAATATAAAACTGTTCCTTCTTTCCTTCCCTCCTCAACACCTTATTCACGTAGATTTGAAGGAGCTGATCAAGTTTGTAAAACCTGCCCCGATTGACCAGGAACCATCCAAAAAACAGAAGAAGCAACAAGATGCCAACAAGAAGAAATCTGCGGGAGGCGATAGCAATTTGGAAAACCAAGTGCAGAACATGTCTGTCAACAATTAACAAATCATTTTAACTGAAACAGTTAATTTATACAGAATGTGTTTCTTACTGTCCCAATTCATTACTCTGGTGGATGGTTTATTTGTAATGGAGACAGATAAAGTAAAAAAACACAGAGGGGAACAATGTATATGCAAGAATAATGTGCATCTCTTGAATTGCCTGCTTTTACCCATATTGGAGCCGAAAGGGAAATGAGTTTTACGGAGATCGTGCTTCCAAAGCACATCCACAGAACATAACATTTTATCTCCTTAATAATGACGTGCGGTGTAATAAAACATACTACTTAACTGGCTTATTCTTGTATATTCTCAAGTGCTTTTACATTTCCAACCATTTGTGATAAAAAGCACTGCACAACTTTTTTTTGCTGGATAGCAATTGCTTATTTAATAACATTTAAATGGCTGGTTAAATTAAACATTGTATTCTTATTGTAACTGCAGCATCTTCGATTGATATGCGGAGGAATTTAGTGGAAGCTTTTGTGTTTGGGCCACATTTTATAGTTGTTGGCTGTGGCCCATTGGAGCGTTATTGGCTGTGGCCATTAGAAAGCAATGAGGCATGAGTCTTTGTGTCATTAAACTGTTCAGGTCTTGTCATCCACATCTCTGAAAATAGTCCAGATTGCTTGGCATTTCTTCAGTTCAACGCAGAGGCCAAACTTTGCATCCAGATTACCAAATGTAATGTGGCTGTGCTTCAACCCCATGGTTATTGTGGGAAGAGTTGTGCTTGGCTTCAGTAAAGAGGGGCATCTTTTGATGCTGCCTGCACTTAAGTTGCCTTAACCTGCATGATTTAGTGGACTTCCATTTGCTATAGCACGGAGAGAGACCTAACAAGTGTGACGAGTTGCAGCAAATGGCAGTATGGTTATCAAATTTCCAAGCTTTTTTGCAAACACACAAAATATCTTTAGAAAACCACAGCTAACTTAATAATAATAATAATCTGTGGGTTTGATATAGTGCCTTTTCATGTTTTAGAGACGTCTCAAAGCGCTTCACAGAATATATTGTGGGTGAAACGCGGCAGCCAATTGCACAATTGTACAAGATTCTGCTTATCAAAGCTCTAACTTGGTGGTCCCAAGAATTTGACTGGCATTGCTTTTATCTACCTACCGGGAGACGGGATGTTACACACAAGGAACGGCTTAGTCACTGGAACCTCACTCTTCGCCACAGAAGCTGTGGTGTAAGTATGGGAGACGAGAATCCCTGATAATTGTCCCTCACCCCCGATATTACTTAACCTATATCCACCCTCTGAGAAGGTGATTAAGGTCCATTAATGTGCTTTAGACACACCTAAATTTCTCAATTTTTTGTACAGTAGCTACACAAAAAAGTGCATTTGGTAACATTATGTAAACTTCTGTATTCTGGCTCCCAAGTGTGTTTTTGTTGGTGGAATACATGTCCTTCAATGCAGGTAATCCAAAGAATTTTATCCACAGCGTATGACAATCGTTGAAACTACTCAACTGTCAGAACATCTTAGTGGGCTTCCTGAATAGCATGGCATTTTACTGTCAGTGTTGCTGTTATTCACAGCTTTTTACTGTGCACCATGGAATCAAGACAGCACTTTATCATGCCGTTGAAATGTCTCCAAGCAATGTAAAGTGTAGTAACTGTTTATTTGTAGAACATGGCAACCAATTTACAGGCCGCAATGTCCCTCAAACATCCATGAAGTGAATGGCCAATTTCATCTGGAGGATACTGAGAGATCTTCTATTTTCATCACCCCTGAATTTTCCTGTTTCTCCTTGCATGCTCACTGTATCAAGACTACTCTTATTCACTTTCCCAGGCTCATCAGGACTGCAGAACTATTTATCCTATGAGATGTTCCTTCCTCTAACAATCTACATACAAGCTTTTGAACTGAAATCTGGTATCTCCATCCCTGTTCTTAAAACCTTTCCTGTTTTGTTTCCACCTCACCTTATTCATGTCCTTTGGATCTTGGTCCTTCAACCAAATAATGTCATTTAAAAATAAACAAATTGCACAACTTAAGAGTACAGCAATGTGAAGCTACAGAGGTGATTTTATCTGATGCCCTGTGGACTCGGAAACTTGTGTTTCGATGCTTTATGGGTTAGTGAAGCCTGAAAATTGTGGGAAGTGAATTAATCATAATTTGGGAATGCACATGCTAAACTTTGGTCAGGCTCTTCAACAGAGGCTAGTAAGTGTGGGGTTATATATGCATTATTGATGTTTATGGGTACATCTTACGTGCTTTATGTTTGTTATGTTTTTTTTGAGCCATTAAAGAGAACGTTCACCTACAAAATACACAGCCACTACTGTACTCGATTTCAAGATCCTCACCTTTATATTCAAGTCCCGGCACTCCTCTGCACCCCCTTACCTCTCTGACCTCCTCTCTCCTCAAAACAGTACCCGTTGCCTTCGCTCCTCTGGGTCTGGCCTCCTTCTCGTCCCGAGTCCACCGCCCCACCCTCGGCGGCCGTGTCTTCAGCCACTATGCCCCGAGGCTCTAGAACTGCCTTCCTCACTCCCTTCGTCTCGCTCCCTCCCTTTCAGGTCTCTGCTGAAGACCTTTCTTTTCAACCGTGCCTTCGGTCACCTTCCTCCCCTCCCCCTGTCTCGGTCCCGGGGTCCGTTACTGTAAAGCGCTCTGAGACGCTGTCCGGCGTGGAGGGTGCTATACAAATCCAAGTTGTTGTTGTACTCTCCATGAAGCACTTTACGACGTTTTGATGACGTGATAAGGCACTTGCAAGGATTAGTATTTATGTTCTTTCTAAAGGAATTGACTTAATAACAAATTGCTACAACTCAAATTCATATTTCAATGGTTCATTTATTTCTGAATTTATCACCCTTATATTTTGGTTCTATTGTCTGGCTAGGATAATATACAGCATGAATCATTTTTAAACTAATTTTCTTCCCATCTCCCCCGAAGGTAGTAATTGATGCCGTGGTACAATTCCTGGGTCCAGACACCCTCCAGTGACTTTTCCAAGTTGCCATCCTTTATGAATTAGCCTCGACAAGTGACTATACTACTTTTCCGTCCATGTCTTTGTGATGGAAAGCTTCATCATTAAAATTGCAAGAAACTATTTCTATTTGCAGGGATAGCGTGACCCCAATGAGCAATTGTTCCTCTTGAAGTGAACACTGTACACTGTATAAATAAATGTAAATTGTATTTGTATTATTCTACTGTGAAAGTCATCACAGTGAAGTAAGCTCACTTTTTTCTTTAAAAAAGACATACATTTGGTTTATTTTCACTGAAGCGCTTGATGTGAACAGAAAACATTTCTGATCTTTAAAAAAATCCTGACACGAAAGGCACTATACATCAAAACTAAGGATTATTATTTATTAAAGTGCTCGTGTCCAGTATGTCTAAATTCAAGTCCCTGCACTCCTCTAAATCTAACCTATCAAAGTTGTTGATTGATCTTGCGTATTTTCAGCATTCATTCCCACAAAATATACAGTCAATTCACTTTACGGTATATTCTGTGAAGCGCTTTGAGCCGTCTCAACGACGTGATAAGGCGCTGCGTCAAATGTAAGGATTATTATTATTGTATTGTCGCTCTCTAAACATGTCACACGTTGAATCTAATACTTACCTGTGCTTTGCAGCTTTTGTGTAACTCAGGCTAGTACCCCAGGTGGTAAATAAACATTGTGAACCTCTCCACATCTTGACCCTTCGATGGAATAACATTGGGACCACTGAGTTTTCACTCCTTTAAGCTAAATCAGCCTCGTGGTGGCGCCATCTACACTGATGTTCCGAGTAAGGTCCAAAAATGAGCAGGAGATGGTAAACTAAAACACTTTAGAATATGATTAACGCAGTAATAAATGGTAATAAATGACACAATCTGTATTACAATGAAAACCTATTAGATGTCAGTTACCTTGGCTCACTCTTATTCTCCACTAACCGTGACGGCTTCAGTCCGGGGCAATCAGACATCATTCAGCGTTGGGAGAAGATTTGTACCCTTCAGTCAAACCATGATTCAATAAATTCCAAGTAAGAGACTGGCATCTAACAACTCTAGCATATGAGCATTTCCCCTAAAGCTTCAATTACGAGAAGACACAGTCCTGCTCCTTTGCTGGCGTTCTCGGATGCACGTTTGCACGCAATAATACTAATAATCCTTGCATTTGATACAGCGCCTTATCACACTGTGGAGACGTCTCAAAGCGCTTCACAGAATGTACTGTAAATTGGGTTGACTGTGTACTTCGTGGGCGAAACATGTTTGATTTAACTACTATTTCCAATGAGGATAAAAATAAGTCTGTCCAAAGAACCTGACAACATGTGGATCAAAGGTGTTGTGACTCAAAATAAGTTGAACAGCTCATGCCATTGGAGAGCAGTATTATACATATCACTGCATAATTTTGCATGTACTTGACTTGAAAGCTCTGGCTCCCAGTTGTGATTTATATTAAAATTCAATTGACAATATATTAATTGATTCCCATGGTGTTACCATACGGATCGTTGAAATGAAGATATAAACCACAATTCAGTTATTTCGAATCACGCATTACGAACAACTTGATTTGAGAGGTAATGTTGCTAGTATTAGCCTAGTCACTGCCCATGTCCTTCCACAGCGTTAAACACAAAACTGGTTAATGTTTCCCAAGATGTTGCCGGTTTATATAATACACAGATGATGTCTTCTTTCCATTCAGAAACATTAGGTTTGAGGGAATTTTTCAGTTTGGGGTAAAATAATAAGTAAATCTGACTCAGTTGGTAGCACACTCTGGCCTCTTGGAGTCAGAAGATTGTGGGTTCAAAGCCCCTTGTGGTGGTGACCTTGATCTCATATTCCAGGTTGATGTTCCAGTGCAGTGCGCCTAACTCATCTGCTGTGCAAGTCAAAGGCGGATAATAATCGCTCCACAACCTCACCCGCCCAAAAGATGTGGTCGCTCAATCCACGACTGTTTGTGGGTCACCGCGGTGTGCAATTGGCTCCGCGTTTCACCCTCAAAATGCACAGTCAATCCACTTAACGGTATATTCTGTGAAGAGCTTTGAGACGCCTCAACGACGTGATAAAGCGCTATATGAAAATGCGAGTATTATTATTATTATTGAATAACAAACAAGCGACAATGCGCGAAGATATGGACACAGCTCCGCCTTAGTAGCAGTTAGTTCCAATTTCAATCGGTGCTGTGGCAGTAGCGTGTATTTAAAAGGATGCCAAATATATTTTATTTTCATTCTATTGCAAAAACAAAACAGTGATGAGGAGATGCTAAGCCTAGTGAGACTGTACACATCTTGCATAAACTCTTTCTCATGCACACACACATCTAGTTTGCCTGATGGATGTAATGAGGTATTTGTGCGTGTGAGATCCCAAAATAATCCAGTTACACTGCGCAATGAATCAAACTCTGGAAAAGATGCAAATTTGGGCGAAATCCTCCCACTTAATGGTTTTAAATTAGTTATCCAAAACACACGTAGCTCTGGCTTGAAATGAAATCGCACAGAAATATAATTTAGTGCTTTACAGACAGCACAAAGTTTACGGGATATTACTGCACAATGTAGGGGTGGCAGCTGTTTATAAACATTTATAAACCTGGTGTATAGTGTTCTTACTTTGTCTTGATTGTGAATTTAAAATCGAAATTGCAGCTTGTGTGTTTAAGTGTCTATATCACAGCTCGTATTAATAACATAATATTAATAACATAATATTAATAACATAATATTGCAAGCGAGAGACCTGAGTTCAATTCCAGGCAGAGGGCGAAACCTTGGGTAAGTTTCCTCACTCCACAGAGCCTAATAATAATCCCTCCAAAACCAAAAACAATAATAAAATTGGTCATTTTCAATCCACGACTGTTTGTGGGACATTGCTGTGCGCAATTGGCTGCCGCGTTCGCCCACAAATATACAGTCAATTCACTTTACAGTGTGTTCTGTGAAGCGCTTTGGGACGTCCTCCCGACGTGAAAAGCGCTATATCAAATGCAAGGATTATTATTATTATTATTTACAGTGTGTTCTGTGAAGCGCTTTGGGACGTCCTCCTGACATGAAAAGCGCTATATCAAATGCAAGGATTATTATATAAATATACATAAATAAATAAATGCAAGTCGTGTGTGTGTGTGTGTGCGTAGCAGGTTTCCAATATAACTAACCCCAGCGACATCAGGGAATCAGCGACTGATGCGTGTTGCGAAGGGGATAAAATGTGCTTTTTTTTAATACAAAAGATTGAAAAGTGCTTCACATTGTAAGACTTCGTCTTGGAATCTGCGCAAATCACACCTGATCCGGATCACACCTTGGCCTTGATGGGCAATGAGGGAGGGAGGGAGGGAGGAAAGGTTTGGTGTTGAGTTTACCAACACTGGGACATTTTCACTGTGTCAAGGAATAGGTGGGGTGGGGGGGAGGACCACAACCTTTGTAAATCAATAGGTACACACATCTCTCCCTCTCTCTCTCTGTGTGTGTATATATATATATATATGCATAGATTTTAAAAACAAATGAAATGTTATTTAAAAACAGGTTCTTTTTAAACTGGCTTTGTGATTTTTTTTTAGGGGGGGGAGGGGAGATGAGGGGGGGTGTATTGGTTTAAACCCCTTTTTCTTGGGTTTATTGCATACAAGATAATTTTTATACACACGTGTGAAAGGGGGTTGCACAAATAAAGAAATGTTACCGAAAAGCCTTCTTTAGGCTCATTCTCGACGTGTCGGAAGTTGAGAGTTTTTTTTGTGAGTTAACGAAACCTCTGAGTTAATGAAACGTCTCCCCCCCCCACTCCCCTCACCCACTCCCCCCCAACAAAAAAAAACCCCACTCCTGCAATTACACTTCAGGACCCATTTAAACGAGTTGCACTTTGCAGTGGGGGAATGATTTTCTTGTTGCTGCTGTGCAACAAAAAAAACAACAACAATCACCAAGAAATCAATCAATCAATCAAATCAATCAATCAATCAATCAATCAATCAATCACTCCCCAAACCACCAACCCAAATAAATACACAAAAGAGATTACAGGGGTTGCAATGGTATCCTTTATCCTCTGTGAAACGACGTCCGATTGCAGTTCCCCAACTAAAAGCTTCTGTGGTGTGTGTGTTTGATTGCAATGGTCGAAATGTCAAGTGATAAATATTGATCAACATTTAAAGAGCAGAGTCTTGGCATTTTTTTTGGGGGGAAAGAGTAGGAAAGGGGAACATTGCCCCTTTAAAGCGCTTGTTCCATCCTTTCTTTCTCTTTCTTCCTCTCTCTCTCTCTCTCTGGGTGTGTGTGTGTGTGTATAGTCTGTGAATTGTTTGAGCAGGTTTTATGCTAATGAAAGCCGAGGAGGGGGTGAGTGGTGGTGTAGAGAGAGAGAGTGAGAGTGTGTGTGTGTGCGTTGCTGCGCGGAGCCATTTTGTGCTATCGTTCCGCACCAACCGAGGACAGTGGCGAAAGGAGGGGGGGAGAGAGAGAGAGAGAAAGAGAAGGAGAGAGAGAGAGAGAGAGAAGGAGAGAGAGAGAAGGAGAAAGAGGAGAGAAGGAGAAGAAGGAGAAGCAGCGCTCTCGCTGGGAACCCGCACACAGTAGGTAGAGAGAGGAGAGAGAGGAGAGAGAGACAGAGTGTGTGTGACAAGATAGAAAGGACGAGAGAGGGAGAGAGAGAGAGAGAGAGACCTTTGCAAAAACCTCCAACCCCCCTCCTCCCCTCCAAAAAAAAGACCCCTCAGCCATGGTTCAAGGCGCCCGGAGTGACCAGAGGGGAGAGAGTTGGATGCGCGCAGAGCGCTGAGAGGGGTGGACCCTGAGTGGAGATGTCAGGAGAGGAGAGGAGATGATGGGGCGAAGGATGGAAGTGACTCCTTCTTCTTCTTCTTCGTCTTCTTGGTCTTGGTCTTCCTCTCGGTGGTCCTCTCGGTGCTGGTGGTCGTCTTCTCCTCCTCTTCCTCCTCCTCCTCCTTCTTCTTCTCCTCCTCCTCCAAGAGCCGCGGCCACCCTGGGCTGGACGCTGCGGACCTGCGTGTCGGTGCTGGTGCTGGTGCTGGTCAGCGCGCCTTTGTCGGAGTGCTTCGGCCACCACCGCCGCCGCAGCCGCCCGGTGCCCCTGCCCTCCCGGGCCCGGCCCGGCTCCCTGTTGGCCCGGTTGGACCCGGACGCCGCCGGGCGCACCTGCGCTTTGCGAAGAGTCACGGCGCCCCAGTTTGCGAGCGGTTGGTTGCGAATCCAGACGGTGACCCCCAACAACACCCCCACCCCCACCAACACCAACACCACCGGCGGCGGAGGCGGCGCCGTTACGCTGTGGCTCTCGCGCCGCCCGGACTGCGCGGCTTTGGGTCACAACCCTTTCTCCGTCCACCTGACCAGCTACTGCCCGGGCGGGTCCGGGGGCTTCTTCTCCACCGCGCGCCTTGACCTGCGCGTCCTCGGGCTCCGGTGCCCCTCGGCCGAGCCGCGGCCTCCGGCCGACGCCGCCTTCCGAGTGGTCAGCCTGACCTCTCCGGCCACCGCCACCGCCGCCGCCCCCTCCTCCTCCTCCTCCTCCTCCGCCCCCGGGTCCTGCTGGATGGCCGGCGAGTGGTGGCTGGGCATCGAGGAGCTGCTGCCGGTCGCCTGGCGGGGCTGCGCCGCCCGTTGCCGAGTGGCGAGCGACAACCGTGGAGGGGGAGAGGGCGGCGGCGGCGGCGATGACCACCACCACCACCACGACGGCGGCGGCCACTCGGCCCCGAGGTTCCGGTGCCAGGACGGGAGGCTGGTGGCCCCGGACGGCCTGTGCCTGCGGCCGGACGCGTGGCCGGAGGTGGTCGTGCGCTGCGAGCGGTGCCCGGCGCGGGGGGGCCTCGCGGTCACCGTCACCGTCACCGTCCGCCTGCGGCTCGGGGCGACCGGGAGCCGGAGACGAAGGAGGACACGGACGCCGCCATCACCACCACCACCACCACGACGACCACCACCACCACCACGACGACCACGACCACGACGGAGCGTCAACACCGGACCCCAGTTCCAGCCCCCGGCCTACCAGGTGTCGGTACCGGAGAACGAACCGGCGGGCACGAGCGTGGTGACCGTGCGGGCGGTGGACCCGGACGAGGGCGAGGCCGGGCGGCTGGAGTACTCCATGGACGCCCTCTTCTACAGCCGCTCGAACGACCTGTTCGCCCTCGACCCGCTGACCGGCGCCGTGACGACGGTCCGGAGCCTGGACCGGGAGACCAAGGCCACGCACGTGTTCCGGGTGCTGGCCGTCGACCGCGGGAGCCCCCGGCGCACGGCCATGGCCACCCTGTCGGTCACGGTGCGGGACACCAACGACCACGACCCGCTGTTCGAGCAGCGGGAGTACCGGGAGAGCGTGCGCGAGAACCTGGAGGTGGGCTACGAGGTGCTGACCGTCCGGGCCACCGACGCCGACGAGCTGCCCAACGCCGACGTGGTGTACCGCTTCCTGAACGGCGACGAGGGCCCGAACCGGGCGTTCGAGATCGACCCGCGCTCGGGCGTCATCCGGACCCGCGGGCCGGTCGACCGGGAGGCGGTGGCCTCGTACCGGCTGCTGGTCGAGGCCGACGACCAGGGCCGGGGCCCAGGGCCGAGCCGGAGCTCGACGGCCACCGTGCACATCGCGGTGGAGGACGACAACGACAACAGCCCGCAGTTCGGGCAGCAGCGCTACTCGTGCCGGGTGCCGGAGGACGCCCGGCCCGACAGCCCGGTGGCCCGGGTGCGGGCCACCGACCGGGACGCCGGGCCCAACGCGGCCGTGCACTACAGCATCGTGGGCGGCAACACCCGCGGCCAGTTCCACGTCGACGCCCGGAGCGGCCGGGTCGACGTGGTGGGCCGCTTGGACTACGAGGCCATCCGGGAGTACACGCTGCGGATCCGGGCCCAGGACGGCGGGCGGCCGCCCCTGTCCAACGCCAGCGGCCTCCTGACCGTGCGGGTGCTGGACGTGAACGACAACGCGCCGCTGTTCGTCAGCAGCCCGTTCCGGGCCAGCCTGCTGGAGAGCGTGCCGGTCGGCCACTCGGTGCTGCAGGCCCGGGCCGTCGACGCCGACTCGGGCGACAACTCGCGCCTCGAGTACCGGCTGGTGGGCGGCCCGCCGGCCCTGCCCTTCGCCGTCCAGGCCCAGACCGGCTGGATCGTGGTGGGCCGGCCGCTGGACCGCGAGGCGGTCGACACTTACCGGTTCGGGGTGGAGGCCCGGGACCACGGCCGGCCGGCCCGGCTCTCGTCGTCGTCGGCCGTGACGGTGACCGTGCTCGACGTGAACGACAACAGCCCCGAGTTCGAGCGGCCCGCCTACCAGGTCCGGCTGAACGAGGACGCGGCCGTGGGCTCCAGCGTGCTGACCGTGCGGGCCGTCGACCGGGACGCCGGCGGCGGCGGCGTCACCTACCAGATCACCGGCGGCAACACCCGCAACCGCTTCTCCATCAGCAGCCAGGCCGCCGGTAACGGTGGTAACACCGGCGCCGGTAACACCGGTACCGGTACCGGCACCACCGGCGGCGGCCTGATCTCCTTGGCCCTGCCGCTGGACTACAAGCTGGAGCGGCAGTACACGCTGACGGTGGCGGCCAGCGACGGCACCCGCTCCGACACGGTCCAGGTGCTGGTCAACGTGACCGACGCCAACACCCACCGGCCCGTCTTCCAGAGCTCGCACTACACGGTCGACGTGGACGAGGACCGGGCCGTGGGCACCACCGTGGTGGTCATCGGGGCCACCGACGAGGACACGGGCGAGAACGCCCGCATCAGCTACTTCATGGAGGACAGCATCCCCCAGTTCCGGATCGGGCCGGACTCCGGGGCCGTGACCACCCTGACCGACCTGGACTACGAGGACCAGGTGTCCTACACGCTGGCCATCACGGCCAAGGACAACGGGATCCCGCAGAAGTCGGACACCACCTACCTGGAGATCCTGGTCAACGACGTGAACGACAACCCGCCCCGGTTCCTGCGGGACGGCTACCAGGGCTCGGTCCACGAGGACGTGCCCGCCTTCACCAGCGTCCTGCAGGTGTCCGCCGCCGACCGGGACTCCGGCCTGAACGGCCGCGTGTTCTACACTTTCCAAGGCGGGGACGACGGCGAGGGGGACTTCATCGTCGAGTCCACCTCCGGCATCGTGAGGACCCTACGCAGGCTGGACCGAGAGAACGTCCCCGTGTACGACCTCAAGGCTTTTGCGGTGGATAAAGGGGTCCCTCCCATGAAGACGCCCATTGACATCCAAGTCACCGTGTTGGACGTCAACGACAACCCTCCGGTCTTCGAGAAGGACGAGTTTGATATATTTGTGGACGAGAACAGTCCGATAGGGCTAGTGGTGGCGCGGGTCACGGCCACCGACCCGGACGAAGGCACCAACGCTCAAATCATGTACCAGATCGTGGAGGGGAACATTCCCGAAGTCTTCCAGTTGGATATCTTTTCCGGGGAGTTGACGGCGCTGACGGATCTGGATTACGAAACCAAGTCCGAGTACGTGATCGTGGTTCAGGCCACCTCGGCGCCTCTGGTCAGCCGGGCCACGGTTCACATCCGCCTCTTGGACAAAAACGATAATATTCCCCGCTTGAAAAACTTCGAGATCATCTTCAACAACTACATCACCAACAAGTCCAGCAGTTTCCCCACCGGAGTGATCGGCAGAATCCCCGCTCACGACCCCGACGTCTCCGACGCGCTTTATTACGGCTTCGAACACGGGAATGAGCTAAATCTGGTCATTCTCAACCAAACCACGGGGGAGTTGAGGCTGAGCCGCGCTTTGGACAACAACAGGCCCCTTGAAGCCATCATGAGGGTTTCTGTATCGGGTAAGGTGCTTCACCTTTGCTTAACTTGTGTCCCGCACCATAACAACTACTTATATGTCAGCATCGCACACAGTGGGTGTCCAAGAAGATGGGAAATGCACACAATTCGGAGTCCTGTAGCTCAGTGGTTAGAGCGCTCGCTTTGCAAGCGAGAGACCTGAGTTCAATTCCAGGCAGGTCAGGGCAAAACCTTGGGCAAGTTTCCTTACTCCACACAGAGCCGAATAATAATCCCTCCAAAACAAAACAATAATAAATTGGTCATTTTCAACCTACGACTGTTTGTGGGACATTGCTGTGCGCAATTGGCTGCCGCGTTCGCCCACAAATATACAGTCAATTCACTTTACAGTGTGTTTGTGAAGCGCTTTGGGACGTCTTCCCGACGTGAAAAGCCTATATCAAATGCAAGGATTATTATTATTATTATATCCTTAGACCCAGTCCTTATTGCCCTCTCGTATTGGGATTAAAAAGTGTCCGTGCTTCCAATTCGCATTGCAGAGAAAGTGGAAACCACTGTAATTTATGATTACTTTTAGTCGCTCTAGCAGTAGAGTTAGCTTAGATCTTTTAAAGAGAATGTGTTTGCAAAAGGCATTCATTGATGCTGTTGGTTGCGAGACCTTGGTACATCAAGTAGATTGTAGGAGGACCATTCATCCTAGACATGTCATAAGGGACGTCATCTTCATGCCATTGATCTCTCTAAGGGGGTGTTTGATTCCGGGTCTTGTTTTTTTTTCTGAGGAGGAATATTATTTCGATCAGAAAATGTTTGTTTCAAGAGAACAAATTAGATGGAATTCTGCTAGAAGATAATATCCAAGGATCCAGTATATAGTTTGGGACATGATATGTCAAACGACTGCCAGGATGGTGGAAGGCGAACTAGATGGACCTTTGGCTTTAGTCTTCTTTCACCCAGCGAAACTTATCATGTTCTTAGAATGGGTTTTAATCAAACTTCGTTGGTATAAGTTTTTGAAGTTTTTCTGCTCTTGGTAAGAACAGGGTTGTAATGGTGCCCTGTGTATTGCTGGCACTTGAAGCATCTCCACTGTCGGATGTTGGCTTGATTTATTTTGGTAACACCGTGGGACACATTGCAAGTGCGTTTTATAATATTTGTTCCGTGCTGTGCTGTAATTCTTATCTCAGAGTCACACCAAGAAGCCGGTTTGCCGCAGTTTCCGTAGAGGGAGCGTTCAAATCTTGCCTCTATTAACAGATTAGCGTGAACTTGTCTGTGGGGACCAACTTCCATAAAGGCTACCCTTGATAAGATCCTGAGGGAGACCATTAAAACCTGATTTTTACTGAGCACATTTTATGAGCCCACAAAGAACTATAAGTGTGAACCAAACACATGGGTTCAACTTCTCTTAGTTAAAGCAATACACTGTAGATCATGGAATGATTACAGATATGGCTGTGATTATTAAAAAAAAACACATGTAACCTGCTACACAGTGGATTGAATTGATCAAAGATTTTTATTGTCAGTTTGCCCTCAGTCCTCTCAGCAATAGTTTTCTTCCAAAACGCAAAATGCTGCAGATGGTGGCGATCCTTTCTCCGTAGATGCCGCCTGACCAGCTGAGCGTTCCCAGCGACTTCTGTTTTTGTTTTGTGAATAGTTTTCCTCCGTTCATCTCTATTTTGTTGCTGATCAAAGCTTGCCAGATAATCTGTCGTTTTATCGTCAACTTCACGGCACAGTTGGCTTAGTTTAAGACATTGTTTACTGTGAAATCAAATCAAAATATTTGCTAGTAAATTAGTAACACTTTTAGTTTGTGTTTATGTTTGTGTGGGAGTGGGGCGTGGGGGGTAAGAAACAAAGGTGCAGTAATAGGTGTAAATGTGTGACCAGGGTGAAAAAGGAAAATGCAGTTTGACAATTTCCTCTGAAACGGCTCAATTAAAGCTGTAATCTTCCAGGTGCTTAGAAAATCATGGAGGTCCTTGAAGAAGGTTGTGGTTTTGAATTGAAATGAGCGAAAGCGTGGGAGTTTGTAAGCAATGATGTGATAACCTGCGCTAAAGTCGACAGCAAGCCTTCGCGGACGCTTAGAGGTGAAGATGAACTCTTAGGATTTCACAGAGCTTACTTTAAGCTCGCTTAAAGCGAGCTTGCTTTAAGCGCTCCGCGACGCTACCCTGCGTGAAGGGCGCTATATAAATGCAAGTTGTAACGACTAATGACTGGTGCCCAGCCTGTGCGGACCTGATAATATGCACTGATACGTATGACATCAAGGTGCTCGATCCTCTATGACTGACAGCCAAGTTGACTTTCCCAGTGCAAACAGATGGTGTGATGAGCATCCAATTGAAACTTAATTTATTTTCGCAATACAAGTCCATTCTCCTTTTAACCTTAATTGGGGAGCTTTTTGAACATAATTATAACAGGGGTTTACGTTTGGCTATGACTTGAGGCGTTTGGCGAGAGGTGCCTTTTTTTTTTGTTGTCTTGTCTTTGAAGTCACTTTTGCAACGCAACGCGTTTGACTGAAGGCGATGCACTGGTTTAAGCATTCCCTCTCTCCGTTTCCCGCAGTGTGAAACCCACCTCCAGGGGAAGCAGCTTTTTTTTACTGGTGTAATACTTTGAATAGCAAGCTGTCCCAAGTGCATGCCTGCTGTTGTTGCCTTTGATGATTGGCAGATTATATTTCCGAGCAGAGCTGTCTATGATCCATTGCCAATTTTGACAAATGGTTTTATATAATGAGTTCTGAGACGAGGAGGATTTCGACAATAAGCAGTATGGATCAGACTGTACTTGACCTTTTGCGGGAGTGAATGTGTGTACTGTATTAAACCCTTTCTTTCAATAATTAGGAAAAAGCTTCCTGCACAACGTGCAACTGTATCACACCTTTCATGTAAAAGAAACGTCTCAATGATTCAGATTGACTAGCAATTAAGTGAAGGTGACATACAATGGCAGTGCTTTAATTTGCAGGACTTTCTCTAGGCTAACGGAGCCCTGTGTGGGCTGAGAGGTGAACACAGCTGAATTTAAACAGCTCATTGCACACCAAATAAGTTATTACAAATCGTTTTGCAGTTGCGTCTATAGTAGAACCTATGCACAAAATTTGAACTTGCAGCAAATTTCAATATTGCTTTCTTTCCCCCTCTCCCCTCATACCAGCCTCATTATTGCTAATTTTTGATGACTGACAACATGTGTGTTGCTACTTATTTGAATATCCTTCTTTCCTTTGGTATCAGGGAAGGTTTATAATGTGAGGTTCACAATAACGTCAATATTCCTGTCTCTGGAGGATTGCTGCATTAGTTAGAGCTGTGGGGATTATGCCCCAATACTGATCCTTTTTTTCTCTGTGGGTTTTTAAATCGCTATTGCCACCTTCAAAATGGTGAGATGCATTTAATTCCCAAACGACTGTGTTAAAATTCAGCTACTTTGGATTTGAGTGATACGTCAAGGAATATGTTTATTTTTGAAGTTTTCTCATACCAGCAGCATCAGATCACTTGTGTGTTATATTAATAATAATGGTGAAATCTTGCAATTGATATAATGCTTTATGTCACCAAGCACTTCAAAGCGCTTCAGTTGTTTTCTGTAAAGTGTAGTGACTGTGTAGCTGCACACTGCAGTTTCCTGCAAACAGCCAACAAGTGAATAACGCATTTTAGCTGGAGTGCTGTCGGCCCCGACACTGAGAGAAACTCCCTTCTCATTTTCTAAGTCGTGCCATGAGATCTTGAACGACCATCTGAAACAGCGAGACGGGTCCTCGGTTTTAACGTCTCATCTTAAAGGACGGCGCCTCTGATAATGTAATGCCTCCCCCAACAGCGTATTGGCGAGTCAGCCAAGACTATGTCCCAAAGTCCTAAAGTGTCCGAATAGATAAGAATATTGAAAATTACCATGGCCATCATAGAGTTTTTAGATCAAATAGCAGAGAGAAACTGGGAACGAGAGACAAATGAGTGAGGAATGAAAGATAAATGACAAAAAAGGGGGAAGAAATAGATGGAGAGAGCAGGAATGTTTTACTAAACACCTATACGTGAGAAAGGGTCAAGAAATGTGCTTTTAATTGTTTCTGTACAATTTGCCGCCGTGGGTGGACTTGTTTTTACAGGGAGATTTACAACCGAGTGGGGGTAAGGAGAAAGTGCGAGCTCGATACGAGAACAGCGCATTCGAGGAATCATTGTACATTGTTTATAGACTTGAAAGATCAGACGTGAACTAACAATTTGTCAGGACAGAGCGGTTACCAGAGTGTTGAAAAATTGGGAGTTTTCAAGCACGCTTGAAATCCTTTATCTATCGAAACAATAGGTAATCTGCTGTCCAGGTGTCTTGAAAGTGAGGCGATACCTTTGAAAACCCACGCTCGTCACATCAACAGCCGTATATACCAGCCGAGCAGGTTGGAATGAGCTTTATTTCTCGTTCAGATTCAGTGCATCTGAAAGAGATTTTGTCAGGCATACACATCAAAGCTTTTAAAATGTATTTAAGTAATATCCTAAAGGTCAGTTCGACTGCACCGGCAAATTGTGGGGTTGGAAGTGAGACCTTCTGTTAAACCCATCCCTCGTTCTTTATCAACCATTACTCTCCAAAGCAGACTGGAGTTAAGGAAATGGGAACTGAAATGCCTGTGACAGCTTTAGTGCTAAAATATTAATGGAAGGACAAAGCTATATGTCTCTGTTCACTATTCCTTGCTAGTGTGTGTGTGTGCCAGAAATCGTTAGATGTCACTAACTGAGGGGTTTTTGACCATTTTAAAATCGTCGTTTTTCAATGAAGTCAGGGCAATAAATAGTAAAACTATTCATAAAATACAAATTGGCGGCCAACCATGTTATGCGAGTTCACCAATGCGAGGTGGAATGAAGGTTAGGTAGCGAGATGCATTATTTAATAGTCTCAGTGTCACAGATGTAATGTGTAGCTCGCGATTGGCATTAGTTGTTTCATTGAAAGGTTTTACTCC